CCATAGCAGCTGGGATATACGAGAGATTCGCCAGAAAAATAACGATGTTTTAATGACGTCACAACAGGGACCAATACTGCCCAAGCAGACGACATCCCATTAAGAATGAACATAATTGCAAAGCTATTATTTGTCAAATTATGATGAGTTTAGTGTATATAAATCTAATGGCATGTCAAACCATTCAACAGGGGAAATGACCCGATTCTGATAACTAAAATCTTTTGCTTGTAAATACACAGGATAGGGGTTAATTAACGATCAAAGAAACCAGACTTTCAAATTGAAAAGCCCCCGGATTGATATTAAGGACGGCATTTGTTCCCTCTTGAAACGCCGAACATACCGCGGTGTGTGCAGCTGAATATACAATGGCGTCTTATTTTGTTTACAAGCGACAGATTCCTTTATTTTTGTATCACTGCATTTGTCATCAAAATAAAACCATGCGCGAGGTTTAGAGTGAGGCAATAGATTAAACATTTAGCCTGACGGTAGTGAAGTAAGAGAAAGAACTCAAGAGAAGATGAAAACACAGGCACTGAAAATGTGTGAGATGTCATGGGACATCGTCTGCTTGTGCAAATCATGTCCCTGCTGTGATCTCACACATCTCAGCAGCGTTCGGAGAGCTATTCAGGTGCTATGCCGGGGCTGTATTTAAGCGTTTTGTAATTCATAATAATCATTACTTCGAATGTTTCCAAGCATTGAATTTTGATAACCTTGTCGAATCAAAGTTTCAACTTTGAAATAATGAACATAAAGCTAGATTTAAAATCAATGAATATCTACTTTAAGTGTATTTACTAAACTGTTTAAATTAGGATGTGAACAGACGATGTTAGTGACAACACATGATGTTAATGTTACTGGAAGATTGACATTTAAAATACCGATTCATTTTTTGTATTCATTTTCTTGGTTGGATGCTTTTATCTGGTTGCTAAGGAGGCATGTGCATTCTTATTGGAACGGTGGCTTTATAGTCCACTCCAAGGATTTGGAATGAGGATCAATGCATTACCAAAGGGCACTTTGTTTAGAGCGTCGACCAATAATTATAACGTAAACGATAATTTTTTATATGCTGAATTTAAATTTATACTAAACAAATATAGACCCTGCTCTCTATAATCACGTAACTCGACATTGCAAATGTTTCCATAACTGTTACATATTGAAGAGCAAAGATACAGGACAATAATAAGTCCATTCTGAGATATTATCTGTGTTTATGGGAAAATAAAGTTCATTTGTACACAACAATAACCCTCATTGAGACAAATTCATGTTCATGAAACATTTGTAATCGTTATTATAAGGATTCATGAACCACGTCCAGGACTTTGCTAGAAATTATTCTAAAAAGCTCAAATGGGGCTTCTCCGTGTTTAAAAGATCTATGCTAATGAGTCATTAATTTTGTAATGTGCTATACGAACAGGAGTGTGTTTCACAAAGATCCTAAGTCGAACTTAACTCTAAGTTGGACTTAAACATTATGGAGAGCCATTTGTAGCCTTAAAATTAAATATTTCCAAAAGCAAAAACTGAAGAATTTTAGACTTTTCATAAATTCCACATCAAGAGCATGAAATCTCCTTGATAATAGAAAATATAAATGATTTGAATCATTATTTTATGCCTTATGAAATAACATTTACAAAATATTTTCAATGATGATAACGGCTTTCCATAATTGTTGAGTCCAGTTTAGAGAAAAGTTCAACTTAGGATCTTTGTGAAACACCCCCTGGTCTATGTAGGAGTCGAATTGAAAAATGTAAAGTTTGTGTGACTTTTGTCTTTGAGGAGAACATTATTATCATGAATCTATATACAAAGCTTTTATACGCTTTCATAATCACAAAGTTAGAAGTGCCTCTTATAATAATAAAACGTACATTTATTTAAAAAATTCTCACCAAACAGAGCATCTCTGGCGATACATGAACAATTCAAGTCTCTCTCCTATAATCATTCAAATGTCAGTGCCTTCGTGTATGTAAGATTTCGGGAAAGTCTGCTAGACACCAGAACGGATTGCATCTTGCGTATAGATGTATTGCACATTATGAGTACGTCGTTCACAGCACACACGGATGTGTGCACTTGAATGAAGTTTGGCATGGTTTTAATACACATTTACCCAGCGACGAGCGGTTACATTCAGCTGTTGTATAGTTTTGAATAGTCAGAATACCATTCTTTAGTTGTTGCTAGGTCAGCAAACTTGTCCTAGCTACGTAACAGCACGCAATGCAATTTTGTTCTCATTCTGACTGTTGAATTACACTTATTTGAAAAGGTGAATTAAAATAATTCGTAGCGAGACACTGGACATCTAAACGTATAGCTATAGGCCTGTGTATTGAACATGACGCATTGTTATGGCTAATTACTCGATTTGGCGTACAGTCTGCATATTTTCTCTTTATTGGAAATCACGTATAAAGCCCCCTTTACACCGGGCCATGCATAGAGTTGCGTAGTGATGCGTACCGACTACGCCGAGCGTACGCTGCCCTAGCTACGCTGGCCTACGTAACTATACGCTGAGGGACGTTAAGTACGCGAAATGGGCGCAACAAATCATACATTTTTAAAAAAAAATTTAGCATACTTTCGGCGTAGACACTAGACAAAGAAAGTACTTATTTTGTAAGCAAATCTACGCAACACTACGCAAATTTACGCTACAGTACGCCAAGCCTACGCACAATAATACCCTACCCTACGCCAATCCGACGAAGCAGTAAAAGCTTGCGCATATAGTAAGCAACAGTACGCAACTGTAAGCAAACCTGTACGCCAGGGCTACGTAAACGTACGCGTAGGTACGCCAATTGCATACGTCGTAGGGACGCGGTGCCTATGCACAGGGTACGTAACCATACGCCATCGTACGCCAGCCTATGCATAACCTCCGCAGTGACTACGCCGAAGCAATATTTTTTTCATAAATACGCAGCCTAATTTCGGCGTAGTCGGTACGCCACACTACGCAACTCTACGCACTTGTACGCAGATCCGTTGTTAAAGGGGCTTTAAGGCTCCATGGACATATTGGCGTAGCGTGGGCTTAGTCATGGTGGGGGGGGGGTCATCCGTCTTTAGTCTACTGGATCAAGGTTATTTCAAACCTTTTTCTTTTATTCACGGCACCCTTTTAATAAATAAAATAGCTTTGCTTCACCCCAATCCCGAATTCTTCGTAGTACCAGGAAGCTGTAATTACAGCTTCCTGGTAGAAGATTCACCACGTTTTACTATGGCACTCATCATGTGCCATGCGTACTCGTGCGCAGGAGTCGTACGGGTATATATGATTCTAAATTTCATACCCTGTGAGAGAGAAGAAATTATAAAGGCCTATTCAGTGTCTTCGATTTCATTTTAATAATAATAGCTCATATTTATAATGCGCCTAACACTTTGTTTCAAGGCGCAGTACATATTATTACCCCGGTCATCGGAATTAAGCTTACCCACACACAATGTATGCACATTCTCCACTCCCTGGGGAGCATTCCGGACAGTCTCCATTTTACAAGCGCCCCTTGCTCATCCAACCACATTAACTTTCACATCCTACCGGGTACCCTTTTAACACCTGGGTGGAGAGTGGCAAATATAGATCAACGTCTTGCCAAAGGATAATATGACGGTGTCGCGGCGGGACTCGAACCCCGTACCTTGCGATCTGCAGTCGGGTGACTTATCCACTAGACCGCAACACCTCTGTCAACACAATGTCCAACGCTATTTCCTCAGCCAAATATGTACATGGAGTGACACTTGCTAAGTGTGGTACACCAGACGTGCTTGTGTATAAAACTTTTTGTACATACATATTTAGTTTTTTTTTAATTTTTAATACGAGGAATGCCTAGCGGTCACTGGGCCTGCCAATTGGGAGGACCGTGAAGCGATCTTCTTGAGTTTTTAACTTATGATGTTGATATATCATTCGTAAGCAACAGTAGTGTTAACTAGATTGACACTAATGTATGCGAGTGAACGAAGCGAGCGAAACAAAGTTTGGGTCGCATTGTATATTGAATTAAACTTTTAAGACAGGTACATTTTTGTATGGTTGAGAATATTTGAAAAAATATATAACCTTACTGATTTCAAGCTTCCCCTTAAGAATTTAGGAGATACGTGGACCCAGTTGCCCAGGCATGTCAATATTAAAGTCTTGCGTCATATTTGATAAATTATTCATAATTTATGAGATCCTAAAAGCACTTTAATGATTATTTACCTGGTAAAGTTTCCTTCCTTACTTTCCATGTCGTAAATCCACGTATTTTGTTCTTAGTAGCAAATTTGTCAGGGATGGGGGGGGGGGGGGGCGTACTGCGCATTTCCCCCTTCAATAATCATTGTTTGTAATGTGTAAAGACCGCATCGTTTTCGGGCAATCATGCATGATTTTGAATGCATATCAAATTTATTACAGAAAAGTCTGCCACAACTGTAGATTATAAGTATATGTTTTTGTAATGTGTTTTATCGGCATATGTGTACAGGGGGCTTTGAAAATCAAAACACAACACCGCTTCAGTATAAAATGCACATAATACTTACTATTTAGGGACTTCATAATTATAAAAGTGAAAATCTGACAAATAAGCCACTTCGGAGATGGTGCTTAAACAAAATGACCTCCAAATATCGACAAATCTGTTACACATGGACACGTCCCACTTTATGCATTTAAGAATAAATGTGCGTAAATGAACAATGATTACATATATCTTCTTGAACACGCATCCCGCAGTGTCCTTTCTCTGCCCATGCGCAGATAACATCTTCGATGTGGCTTATTTGTCAGTGTCATGTACTTTTGTGCTTGGAAATGTAGAGTAATAGCGACTTTTATAAATGTCTTTTGTCTGATTGTCACTATATTCTTTGCATGGAGGATACACTTAAGTTTTATTCATTTTTTTAAATTAATATCTGTTTTGAATGTAATTCATTGCATACAGGGAAAAAGGCTCTCACTTTTGGTAAAGATTACAACAATGGAACAGTTGCAAGAGAAAATACAGGAAAAGAGGCTCTGATTTTCAACAATGAGGATGCTCCACATTACATCAATGAGGCAGTTGCAACAGAAAATCGGTTAGCAATTTTAGTCAAACGATTGTGGTTCACTGGGCTGCCGTCTTCCCTGAAAACGAAGCTTAGAACGAGTGATTTATAAGCAAAATACAGGTTTAATTCTTAAAAATATATATTTATTGTCAACACTCTTTAACCACGATAACAGTGTCTTTGTTTTTTGTTGCTTTTTTAACTAGAGAGAAACAAGAATTTCATATTATTTGTAGAAATGGGGACTTTTCGATTTGCACAACGAGAACGTGGACTGCAACGTGTGACATCCTTTTAAGGCACTGCCGGTGTCTTAGAAGGACGTCACACGTGAAAAGTCCCTAATAGTAAATGCATTGTTAAAGTAGATATTCATTGAATTTAGCACTGTGGCATTGGGGGCATTGTATGGGTGGCAGCTTGAGAGTTAATAACTAATTTTATGTTCATTTTTGCAAAGTTGAAACTTTGATTCGACAAGGTTATCAAAATTCAAAGCTTGGAAACATTCGAAGTAATGATTATTATAAATTACAAAACGCTTAAATACAGCCCCGGCGTAGCACCTGAAGAGCTCTCCGAACGCTGCTGAGATGTGTGAGATCACAGTATGGACATGATTTGCACAAGCAGACGATGTCCCATGACATCTCACACATTTTCAGTGCCTGTGTTTTCATCTTCTCTTGAGTTCTTTCTCTTACTTCACTACCGTCAGGCTTAATGTATAATCTATTGCCTCACTTTAAACCCCGCGCATGGTTTTATTTTGATGACAAATGCAGCGATACAAAAATAAAGGAATCTGTCGCTTGTAAACAAAATAAGACGCCATTGTATATTCAGCTGCACACACCGCGGTATGTTCGGCGTTCCAATAGGGAACAAATGCCGTCCTAAGTATCAATCCGGGGGGTTTTAAATTTGAAAGTCTGGTTTCTTTGATTGTTAATTAACCCCTATCCTGTGTATTTACAAGCAAAATATTTTAGTTATCAGAATCGGGTCATATCCACTTTTGAATGGTTTGGCATGCCATTACATTTATATACACTTAACTCATTATAATTAGAGAAATAATAGCTTTGCAATTATGTTCATTCTTTATGGGATGTCGTCTGCTTGGGCAGTATTGGTCCATATAGTGACGTCATTAAAACATCGTTATTTTTCCGGCGAATCTCTCGTATATCCCAGCTGCTAAGGAGGTAGTTGTATTTGTATTTTTATAAATCACCCGATATGTAGTTGACCTAAAACTTGTACGATGGCCATCTGTTAGCTTACCAGTTTCTAGTGATACATTAGTTAAATAATAAATAAATAAAAAATAAAAAACTGCTTGTTATCACATTTTATATTCTTAATTAATTTTTATTTAGGAAGAAGGTGGCGAAAATAATGCAACCGTGGCAGACCATCCAAATATATCGTCCTAATGTGGACCCAATGGACATGCATTGGTCTAGAAACATTAAGCAATTGCGGGGATCGAATCAAACTGACTGGATAGAGCGTCGGGTAAAATCTTGCGCCGTAGTTGGAAATTCTGGTATTCTTCTGGGCAGCAATTGCGGTCACACCATAGACAACATGGACCTCATCATCAGGATGAACCTGGCAGAATTTGGTCATGAATATTCATCAGATGTAGGTTCAAAGGTGTCTTTCACGACCATCAACAGGGAACAACTGCGTCTTGTGCTTGCCTGCTTTTTGAACATGGCCAAGGCTGGCAAAGAAGAAGTGCCCCTGGGTAATGCGACGACACCAGTCCTTTCTACTGAATGCTACACTTTCATCAAGAAATTCAGACTGCTCAACGATGACGTGATGTGGCTCTTTAAAGGTCGCCTTCCAGGTCTACAGGAGGTCCTGTCCCTTCTAAGAAAGAGATTTGGCCTAGGGTTCAAGTTTGCGTACAGCCCCGTGGACCCCATCGGCCCTTCAGTAAAGTAATAATTATGAAAATATTATTAATGGGATATTATAAGAATTATATGAATAATACTAAAAAGAGAAAGTAATACCGCAGAGATTAAAAGTGGTATTGCGGGCGAGATTAAAATCGCAGCACTTTCTGCATGGCTAAAAAGATAAACGGGGATACAACATTATATTGTCATTTTGCCTAAAAACCTTTTCAAAGTTCTAGATTTTTATTTAAAGATTTTAACCCCTATACATTGCAAAATATAGCCTGTATAACTACTGCCATTTGGAAAAGTAGGGCCTCTTTTTAGTCATTATACATTTTGTAAATCAATTTTGCCATAGTTTTGTCCCATTTCCTTAACAATTCCAGTTTTGCCAGTATGTACCTTCATGCCGGAACAACAAGCATATCCTGTACAGCTTGAATGAAAGGGGAATACCGCACAAAAATTGATAATAAAAACGGTGTTTATAAAGCACTTTCCACCGGAAAGGATCTTGTTTTTATCACGATCTGTATCAATAAGCTTCTCAAGAGGAGTCCTTGTAGAGTTGTTTAAATTCAAAGGTCGTGTATTCGAGTCCAGGCACGACACGTACACTATGAACACGACGGGGAAAACAAGTGGACAAAATGAACAGTTCCTCATTGTACCCTCAACAATTGATGTGGTAGACAAAGCAACATCCCTTCACTGCTATCGTGGGAAAAAGTGTAGAACAGGTGAATATTCATGTGACACCTGTTCTACATATTTTTACATACTAGCAGTGAAGGGATGTTTCTTTGTCTACCACATCAATTGGTGAGGGTAGAATGAGGAACTGTATATTTTGTCCTCTCTCTTTGTCCGACATGTTCGCAGTGTTATATCATTCGCTAAGACATTAAACCAGCATTTGCCAATCTCTATGGGTGAAGTAAATAGTTGGCAAGGAGATCCCTTGAACGCGCTTAAAAATGTTCAAGCACGTTGGAACCGCATATACATACAGTGTACGTGTGTACCATTATTGTGTTATCATTTTTCGACTGCAGGTTATGGAAATTCAAGGCTCCAACTTCAGGCCTGGCTATGTACACTGCCGCTACTCAGTTATGTGATGAAATAACTCTATTTGGATTCTACCCGTTCTACACGGATAGTTATAATAGAACCATACTTCATCACTACTACGAACCGGAGTTAAAAGAAATCGTAGTTCATCACCAAATGCCTCTAGAATATAAAACCCTTCTTGAATTTAAAAAGAAGGGGGCGCTTCGTCTCCTGAATAACTGTACTTTGAGTGGAAAGGAAAAACATGCAGAGTCCTAGTTCATTTTGTAGCGGAATAGTGAAAGGGGTTAACTGCAGTACTGCACTAAGTTGGTCTTGTCAAATCTTACCGCATGCAAAGTTATCATTATTGCTGTGTAATGCCGTTATTGAAACGTTGTACAAGTATATGCGAACACATATTCTACTAAATAAATTGGTTTATCAAAACTTTCCGTGTTTATGTACTTCATCAGAATTCGAATGCCACTCTAACCACGATTCTCTCTACTTCATAATAAATATATGAGCTGAATAGATATATTATAACAGACTTCAAAAGTAAATTCAATCTGGAACCCTCATTTATCTTCTTGTTTTCCTTTTCCTTATTTGGTTTGATTTTGACATTTTCATATTTCATTGTTGGATTCATAATATCTAATCAACGCAACGTTATATGACAGGATTGGTGCCTTAATGTCATTTTTTCATATATTGTACATTATTTGCTCTTAGTTATATTCTAAATTTCTCTGTATTTCTACATACATGGTTGTTTGTACATTTTGTTTCATATGTTTTAATTGTATGTACAGTGCGTCCCAGAAAAAACGAAACCGAGAATTATCGATGTTTTATCATAACTTAATCACAATTATAATTCACAAATGACACATATTTTCAAAGCTTAGATCCTCCTCTTTCATTAATTTTGATACTACTCGTATAATGCATATTTCACGCATGAGCGATTAAAATTAATTTGAAGAGAGGAAACCAAAAAGTCATTTGGCGGACGGTATCTGAATTTCAAAGAGAAAATCACGTTTGTAGAAAGTTGAGTATTTGCCCTTTTCTATGACACCTCAATCAGGAATAATGAACTAGGAATAACAAAGTTCTGTTTGTTTAAAGTAGTGCTTGCATTTCCATAATCGATAGTTTTCGGTTTCGTTTTTTTCTGGGACGCACTGTATAATGAAACATATAAATATGAACCATTTATCATTTTCAAGGTGTTCAAATTTCAGAGGCTTTGCTAAACATATTGAAATATTTGTAATGTCCTTTTCTAGACCTACGTTATCGAGAATGTATCTGCATAAAATTGTTGGGTCATGCTGACTGATATCCATTAACCAAAGTCCATTAATCCCAATATCATGGCTTGGAAGGATTCGTTAAATATCAAACTCTCATGATCACATGAATATGGGCATCGGCGTACGCAGGATTTTTTTCGAGGGGGAGGGGTTACAATTTGAAAATCGCGCCGAAAATTTCGCAACGATTCAGCCGGCCGCTGAATAAACCGGAGGGGGGGGGGTGAGAGTTTGTTTTTGTTTTGTCCCGGAAATTTGAAAATTGGCCGACCGATATTTCGTTCAGTTGGGGGGAGGGGGGGGGGGGTATGGTCAACTTTAACCTCCCCCCCCAAAAAAAAAAAATGATTGAAAAATAATTGAGGGGGTTCGACCCCCCCCCCCCCTGTGTACGCGCCTGAGTTTGGGTATATGTATCTCATTAATGCAACTTTATATTATATAACAACATTTATTCAGTGGTTTTATATGCGATTTATATGTTGCATATTTGTCTTAAATTTCTATATATTTCTCCTTTTAACTTTGTATTATATTTTATTTCGATATGTTGTAAATTTAATGGAGTAATGAAATAAATAAATCTGAATTTGAATGTTTAATATTTTTAAGGAGTTCAAATTTCAAATAAAGGGTTTTAGTGCTAAACATATTATAAAATACTTTTAATGTCCTTGTGTAGACCCACGAAATCGTGAATTTATCAGCATACAATAAAAATGTCTTTAAAACCATAGTCCATTAATTCCAACAATATGGCTTGCAGGGTTGTGTAGAATGTGTTCTCATAATGTATGTACGATTTATAACGAACTTTGGACACTAATTGGAGTCATGGGGCATGTTATTACATCATGTGTATTTCGAGATTGTAAACATGAGTAATGCTCGCTAGTAAATGAAATATATAAAGGTCAAAGTTGAAACCTCTCTTAGCAGTCTTGTCGGACACTTGAGAGAGAGGAAGAGGAAGAGCAATTAAACCAGATAAATTTTAGCGTATGACAGATAAAACGGGATATAAAGAACGTATTTTTCATTCTTTCACAGTATAAAATTAGAGGAGGCGCTCCCGAGGGGCACAGTGCCTCCCCCCCCCTTTTTTTTTTAAGTACTCAATAAGTGCCCCTTTTTACATCAGATAAGTGCTCTTTCTCTTTCTAATATTTTAGTGGCCCTTCCCCTTCTAACAATAGCCAATTTTCAATTTTAATAGGTGGTCCTATTACAATCTAGTTGGTGCCCCTTTTATTTTGACAAGCGCACCTTTTCCTTTGTAACGAATGCCCCTTTTACCTTCTTATAAGTGAACCTTTTTACCTCCGATGAGTTCCTCTTTTCAGGAGCCAGATGTTCCTCTAGCCCTTTTTACTTTGTCACGTGCCCCCCTTTCCTTTCAAATACACGGTGGCCCATGAATTTGGAATATTTTTTTCTCAGTCACCTCTTTTCATGACACGATTGTGACAATATAGTTTATTCTAGACTTGTTAGATAAAGTAAATAACTTTTTATAAGATGATGACGTGGATCCTAATCAAATGATTGGTTGAAAGCGTACACGTGACCAGGCATTTATTTTGCCTAACGCGTAATCGCGCGTAATTTGGGTAATGACCGGTCATTATCCAATGTTAGTGACCGGTCATTATCAAAATCATGTTAGAAAACATCATTTTATGAAACAAATAAAACATAATCTTATAAAACAAATAATACACATCATTTTGGCCCTCACTGATGTGTATTATTTGTATACTATTGATCAATCTATAAAGAGCCAAAGAGATTGTATAATTATGTGAAGATCACATTATCTATCAAGAATAAACCATTATTCTCACAATCACTTCATGAAAAGAGGTGAGAAATTTCTTACTTTATGGGTTTTCATTTCTGATGAGTGCCCCCTTATAATGTATGAGATGTGCCCCTTTTCACCTGTGATAAGTGCGTATTTTACTTTTAAACTGCTTCTATTCCTTTCTAGTAAATGCAATTTCCCTTCTAATAAATGTCCCCTTTTTCCTTTCCCTTCTTCTTATGATTGCTCTTTTTAACCTCTGATAAGTGCCCCTTTTAAAAATGATAAGTTCCCTTAGTATGCTTCAGAGTGCAAGGGTCGGAGACTCAAGGGGGACTTGGAGATGTACGTCCCTGGGAAATGTTGATTGGGTCATCCACCCCCCCCCCCCCCCCCCGTAATGTGCAAAATTGCAACTAATGCTACTTAATAATGGCAATGATGAAGAAGATGATGATGTTGATGTGGAAGATGATGACGATAATAATAAAATTATTAATAATAATTGTGATTGATAATAACAATAATGATGACAATAATAACACTAGTAGCAATTAATAACAATACTACTACTACTACTACTACTACTACTACTACTATTACTACTACTACTCATAATATAGTAATAATATTAATAATATTAATAATAATAAAAAATAATATTTAATCATTTTGATTGTTATTTTATTCAGTAAATAGCCTATATGTAAGATCTAGAATCAGAGAGCTGATGCTTGCTAGAATGCATTCTTGCACTGCAAAATGGGAAATCAGGGGGGGGGGGGTTAAGGAGGGGGGGTTGTATCTTACAGACAAGTTCTTGCCATAGAGATCTCCATGGTTCTTGCATACTAGTCTCAAATCCATGCGGTGTGTAGAAAACTTTTTTTTTTTTTTTACTGACTTTTATTTCGGATACCCCTGAATTGATTCCTATATGTTTAAATGTGTAAAAGAACAAAATACGCTTGGCTTCACTTAGACAATTTAGAGGCATGACTATCATTTTAAAAATTTCTTTTGATCTCGGCTACAATTTTGCGGATAGAAAAGTGTAATTGTAAATACACCTATAGCTGTAGACTATGTACGAACAGCTGATATGCATATTCATGATGCATACGTACACCAGTTGAAATGACGCATTTGACGATCAAATACGTGATCTTTTTCACAGTTTTTGCTGCTTTTGATGTAGCTATAGCAGCAAAGAAAAAGGAAATTCAGGTAAATTTTATTTGTAACCCTATTCTTAAGGTCTCTTTTTTCTAATAAGGTAGTATTTTAGTATTTGGTTCAGTTCGCCGGTGCTTCCAACTAGTTCTACGAAACTCGTCAAGTTGTAGGCCGACGGCGTCGGGCTACAGATACGGGAAGATCCGACAATGCGGCTGGCATAGCGCTGGGCCTGGCCTGCCTGCGCCTGGCCTGGGTGCTTACCTGGAGGCTGGAGCTGGCCTGTGTGGGAGAGGTGACTTTGCTTAGGCTTTATTACTTGCAGTAAATCTATTTCAACGTTATTATGAAATTAGAGGGGAAGGAGTCGGCAGCGTTATTGTCAACACCACCATCACTTATTATAATTATCATTATTTTATTGTTATTATTATTATTATTATTAGAATAATTGTTTCTATTATCATTGTTAATATCATCATCCTCGTATTCATCGTCATATTATCAATATCATCAAGGGCACTGCCCACTGGTTCTCATCTTCAGAAAGCAGCAGGGCAACTCCTTGAGAAAGAGGGTCAGAAGTACGATGAAAGGACCTGCAAGTCAACATACTTCCCTAACATCCAACGGTTGCACCATTCAAACAAGGTACCCTTTCTTAATAATATTATCTGCAGAATTGATATAAAGGGAAACTGAAAGGAAACATCTGTTTGTGGGGCTGTGTCAATTTGTTTACCAGTCCAAGCTGAACTGAGGCAACCACTGCAGAATAGTCTGGAAGGTTAACATACCCTAACAATAATAATAATGTGTCTATTCATATCGTGCAGCTGTGCTTGATACGAAGCAGGGCTTATACAAAGTATCATACATAACACTGAGATAAGTTCCTAAATAATTCAAGGAATTCCTTCCTACCGGGTACCCATTGACTCCACCTGGATGGAGAGTGGCAAAGGTAGATAAATGACTTGCCAAAGAACATTAGGCGGAACAAAATTTCAAAAGCGCTTTACATTGTCAAATTGATCCAATGATATCTTTGACTGGATTTCCATCTCTTTGAACAAGTTGAATTTTCAGAATGTTTTTGTAAAGTGGAACCTAGCAATCATGTACCTTTGAATCTCTCATAAGTTTTTAACAAGAGCATGCGCACCTATCTGGTTTACAAATATGAGACTATGAGGTTATCCTGTGGAAAAAAATTGTACATATATAATTGGTAGGGGTGGCAATCAGGGGTGTCCCCCCCCCCCCTCGATAGTTTTTTTAAGGGGATCATCCCCCCCCCCCCTTCAAAAATTTAAAAAAGTGCCCCCCACAAAACACATGGAAGATACATGAAGGTTCATAATTCATAGATCTTAGATTTTGATTTGTATTCTCACTTTGCTTCAATTCTGAATTCATTTCAATGTTATACAATGTTGTTTGCTTTTGAAGCATGTTTGATTATAGTTTTCAAGCAGCAATATTTCTCTGTTTGTTCAAATTAGATATACATGTACATGTATGTGAAAATTTAGGATGTATCATAAAATCCATAATCCCAAATTTATTTAAAATATTGTTTCTCTTTGCCTTAGGTAGATCAAGCCATTGGATGTCTTCTAAAATCTTTGTTGACTACTAACTCAAATGCATGGAATTGGTGAGTATGATAAGAAATAAAAGAAAGGAAAAAAGAAAAAATATGAAAAAAATACATTATTCTTTGTAATTATTGATTAGAGTACTCTCTTTACAACAATATTAGCGCTGTGTTATCTCTGGAAGATACAACAAAAAAAATCACAAAACTTACAACAATGTTCAGAATACCGCCCCAGATCCTGATCCCAACACATATTCTCAATTTATTAAATATTTGTGATTCCAACACTATGCCAGTGCATCTCTCCACAGAAGAAGAAAAAATTCCGCAAAATTAATCATTATGTGTAAATAATTGTTTTCGCTCTGTAACATCCTTTTTGCCTCTTAACGCATTTCTTTACAGGTCATATCTTGGCAGTCTATATTCAGAGAAAGGAGAGAAAGCTAAGGCTACAACCTGTTTTAAACAAGCAGCAAAGCTTTCAGGAAAAGTTAGCCAATTTGTAAACCAATGGTATTTTATTGGTAAGTTATAAAACCTTTCCTTCACCAATGATAGGCCTACAATGTAAGTAGGGCTGAACCTACTTTACATAATTGGAAAAGTTTCCAATTTCTTGTCATAAGAAAGCCTATTCCCATCAATATAATATTATGTAAAAGCCTGTCATAAGACATATGTAATTTATTGTCATTATTACTGTTGTTGTGTTTGTTATATTCATTATTGTAATTATTACCATTGTCATTTTCATCATCATCATCATCATTATGTCTATGTGACCTTCATTTGGCAATATTCATTTCTCATTGTTATTAATGTCATATTTATTATTGGATAATTGTCAACACCAAAAAATTGGCTTTTAAAATTTGTATGTCAGGTCCTTTCATGATTGGGAAGTCTGAAGTGGATGGAGATCCCATCGAATCCTGGGGAGGTATTGTGAATGTGTCGAGGCACAGACATGAGAAAAAGGCTGCGTTTTACTCTGAACTTGTGGCCGGTGGAGTGGTGAAATGGCAGACGTATTCTCAGACAGTAAGTTAATTTCTCTACATTTAGTTTAATCATACAAATAGGCTTTAGTTACACTTTGTTTTGCTGTAGTATATAAATAAAGTGCTTATCTCTCAAGCCCCTAGTAATATTGAGTATAAAAACTGTTAAAACTCAAGTTTGCAAAAATACTCGCAACCTGTGCAGCTCCCAAGATACTCTACTATTGCCATCACATAAAACAAAAATAACATTTATTATATCCTGCATCAAAAATGTGTTGGCTTTTGATTGGTTGAGAGCTCGTCACATGACCAAAAATATTTGACCTATTTTTAGAAAGTACTATATGAGAGTACTATTTTGGTTTACTATTTGGGAGTTCAAAAAAAAATGTGATTTTTTTCTTAATTTAATTTTTTTCTTCTCTTCAAATATTAATTTAATGAAAACAAAATATTTTAAATCTTTTTAGATAAAAATTGACATTGTTTTGTTCTAATTTTTTTTCCTCCCTAAATCTCAATTTTCTCCATTCCCTATCACACCCATAGAAAGCTGGCGAGAGAGTTCAAATTGCGCCCGATGTCAACTGGAATGAATTGATTTCATCCCTTGGATCATTAGCCATTACAGAATGGCAGGTGAGTACATATAACGTGCAGGTTCCACCTCGACAATAACAATAATATTGCTCCCCTGTCTTTAATGTGGAAAATAGAAAGCAATAGAAAATTGGATTTCTTTGGGGACATATTTTGTTGAGCTGCTGCTAGAAGGTTCTTGAAATGTGCATGTGCCAAAGAGCAAGTTTTGGATAAGAGACACATCAAGAACGCAAACTGCGTAATTGCTGAAATATCATTAATAGAACCACATCGTTGGAATGTGGAGCTGGTAAATATATATCATACCATCTTGATGAGGCTTAATGTTAGCTAAAATTTCATTCAGTTATGTCAAAAAATTAATTTAAATTAACAAACATATTATGCAATCTGTATTATGGCTTTATACGACACCGCAACTGCTCCATACATGTCATTACCATTTTTTAAACATCGACTAAAATCGACTAGGTCGACTAAAAAAAATGAAAAAAATGGATGGTAACAACCTAATTTGAGCAGTTTCACATGAAATAAGCACATATTTTTTTGTGTTACAAGCATTTTAATGCTAACAACTAACCTTTTGCCTAAGCGCCGTTAGTGCACGTCTGTGTTTAGCAGAACGGCGCAATGGGCTTACATCCTCTTTCAGCCGCATGATGATTTTAATATGAACTTCATCTTCAATTAGCCATCAAGATTGTCAAATGCTCACACAATCATTCCCCTTATATCAATCAGAGCAATGTTATATTACAACAAAAGAAAACCATTCACTTACAGTAGGGCTGAAGGCACGAGTCTTTAAAGAGAAGAAGCGGTGAGCATGTCTGTAAAGGCAGGAACTGGTGACAGGTAGACCAACCACTGCATGCAACCTTAAGAAGCCTTTTTTTCAAATCTGATACTGTCTGGCTGAAGATGTGGAAAATGTAAACCTTGCTTTCCAAAACTCAAAGATGGAGGTGTATAAAGCTTGCCATCCTGCATGCAAATGCTTCACTGTCATGACTGTTCTGGAAAAATTCCATTGGTTGCCATACACCTGGTTGCCATAAACCTGTTATTTCTGTTGGCATCGATCTATAAAAAGAATAGCATTCTGCTGACAATGAATCCCCTTTGTTTCTTCCCACTAGAAGAAATTTAAAATCAGAACCTTAGCATTCTGATAACAATAACCCTTCCAGATGTATTATTAGTAGCCAGGAATGTTAACCCAGCCTCAAAATTTATGCACATACTAATGACAAAGACTTTTGTGATGATGCCCTAACAATGTGAGTCAGTGTTTGTAAACAAAGGAGTGATGTGGACTTGACTCAGGCAGAGACCAGTGATTTAGTTTTAGAACCTGTCTAGAAAGGCCACCTCTCTGTAAAGAATACTTGGGTATACTTGTCACTCATGGGTGTCGATCCTTACGTAATACCTATTCATCAGGGGGGGATGAATGAATAGATCATCCCCCCCTGATGAATAGGTATCAGTTACGGATCGACACCCATGTTGTCACTTATAGTGACTCCTTGAAAGGAGAAAGATGTGTAATAGATCTGTGTTGAAAGGCTACCTGTCAGTACAGTGTCCATTTTTTTAACTGTTCCCTCAAATTTCTATTTTTTTATTTGTTATTATTTCTTTTTCTCATGTAGGGCTGGGTGGTCGGAGAGTTTGCTGTCAATGCTAAAGGGGATGTTTCCATTCAATGTTTAGGTAGGTACGTTTTGAAATTGATTACAAGCCCCACCCCTGAACAATCGATCAAATATAATGTATTAATAATAATAATAGTATTACCCTTAGTCGTTTTAGCCATTTTGTGCTTGCTATTATCTAGTGATTGTAAAATATACTTACTCAGGAAATGGATTAGAATCATGATATTTATGTTATCAATCATATACAGGCATTAGATACTCTATCAAATTTGAAAGCTGGAAGAAAGAAAATCCAGGTATAGAGTATTAATTCATTTATGACAACATTTACAAAGTGTTCATTATTGAAGTAGGATACAAATATTGTTCATTTCTTTTTTTGCAGGTGTACATACTTTCTTTGTAGATGGAATATTTGTTGCAGCTGATGTGTATAGAAGGGATGAGTTTTGGTGAGTTGAAAATATGATTATAATAATTTCATCTGGTTTCAGTGACGTATTCTGTCAGATTTTTGTGAAGATACAAAATTACTTCATTGCTGTGGACAACAATAGAACCAAGATCCTAATACAAAGTGAAATTATTGTTAAAGTTTCAATTGATATTTGCTAGTGATTTGTATATATATGCTTAGATATTGTCATTACTCCAAACAAAGAAATTGCAATCACCTTTGTCATACCTAGAGGCATTGAGGTGGGGGTTTAGTAGTTCCACATCCACAAAAACAAATATATCAGCAAATTTGAAAATTACGAGCAAATCACATGAGTTGATGAATCTTTGTGCTTGATGGCTAGTCCTGTCTCTCATTTTGACCTTGTTATTTTACAGGTTTACACTCTCTCTAGACCCTGGTATTCATACCATCTACATTCGTCTCAGAGCTAAAGGTTCACAGGTATAGATACTAACTTGTTCTGAGTAATGTATGATGTTGAAACTTGAAAGCTCCCAAATGTGTGGTAAAATAAGAATGGAAAAAAATAGTGTATTCACTTGTAGTTCAAATCTTTAGAGGAGTTCATGGGTGATGTGGCAGTAATGATCTAATGAAGCGAGGACTTTCAATTTGTTTTAATTTTTATTAGGAAGGGGGGGTTGTCCCCATTGCCACTGGCTGGCCTGGATCTCTCAATGAGTGAACTGTTCTAATAAATCAGTATTGTCTTGACTATGACAGTCTATGATGAATAAGTTTGATCTCATTTTTCACTTTCGAAATTGCGTTACTACGTTCACAAATTTAGTTCTTCTCGAGGTACATTTCTGGAATTTACATTAGCAAATTCGATTTTGAACTGAAACTATCATTTCTATTGGCTCTTCTCAGCCTTACTACTCATGCGTACACATATTCAAGATTTGTCTTGATTTAGACATCACTATGTGATCTCTCTTTTATGACCAAGTTTTCTTTTGATTCTATACCTGTAGGTCTTCAGTTGTAACATTAAAGCTGCTGGTGAGTTACATAATCAATACAATTACATTTGCGATGTATCTTGATACCATGTGTGGCACAGCTTTAACCCATTGCTTACTGGAACCTGGTGGTCCCTGTCTATGGGGATTAGATAATTCAGTAGTCAACGGGTTCACAAACAGTGCTCATGAATAAACTACTGTGTCAACAATCAACTTTCAGATATCCAATTCATCATTTCTCATAAATATGAATTTGGCTGTAAATAACATAAAGAGCTATTTTGGGTACAAAATTTTAGTATAGGTAGAACTACTACAAATTGCATTAAGCTTTGTGATATCAATGTCAATCAAATTGTCATTCTAATGTTTTTCTCCTATCATTTTACATGCATTTGCTTGTATATAGATGGTGAACCTTTTATGGTGCACCCAGCTGTGATGGTACCAGATATTGTTGAGGACACCTTGATGGGAGATGTGTTTGCCATTCCTCTCACCAATCTTCAGGGAAGCAAATGGCTCAAAAATTTGAGGTGGGTGCAATATGTTTTGAATTGCCGACATAAACATGGTTCCTTATTTTGCTGCTCTTAAATCAGATACAGTGTTGATCTCTCAAAAAAGACAGTTAAAGCATTACTATCCTTAGATACAAGCAGTCTATGGCTAATCTTCCAGAGAGGAAGGCTGCTGAATGATCTCTTTTTTTGTAAACATTGATGTATTAGAAAAAGTTATTGATTTCATTAATTTGAATGTCTTACTCATCTACTTTTAATATGACAAATTTGTTGCCGGAACTATAAATCATCAGTTACTATGACAATGCTTTTTCGTTAAAATTTTGTTTTTTTTTCCTTGCTCACTCACACAGAGTTAGCTTAGCTGAACCAACTGAAGAACTCTCAGTTTCGCTAGCCAGGGAGCGAGGTCTGATGAACGTAGCCCCAGGGCAGACCATCCCAATCATCCTCCGTCTTAGTCTGAACGACAACCAAGATGTTCCTGAAGTCACTGAGGACACCTGCAAAGACATCAGGTGGGTCATAGGAGCTGTAGAGAGGGGCAGGTGCATCCTTGGAAATCCTAGCAATGTTCTCATCTGAAAGTTTTTTTTAAATCCAATATAGCAGCAGTGTAACATATTAAACACACATGTTTCAAAGGTAATGGACTAAACTGTTTGCTGAATACAGAGTTAATTAGCTCATAGCAGATGCCATCTTCAGCTGATGGAAGAACATGATAAAAGAATTGAAGATAATAACTGACCAAACTTGGTAATTTCTGCCCATTTCCCTTCAATCTCTAATTGTTACATTTCAGTCGAGTGAACTTAAACATGACAGGAGATGCTGTAACATATTCCAACATATTTCCCCCTTGTTTTTTGTGTTACCCAGCTTAAAGGTGAAAGTATCTGCTGCATCAGTGAAAGAGGCCCAGATATTACCAGTCAAAATCAGATGTAGGAAGAGACATGAGTCCTTCCTCTTCTCATTTCTAGATCATGACGGCTCGGTGAGTTTATTCAAGCCAAATTTCCAGCAAGTTTGTAGTAATGGAACTGATTTGCAGAGGTCGGCAGTGAGATGGCAAAACAACATTATGTCCAATTTTTGTTAAATTGGCTTTTTAATGTATTTGGCTTTTTACAAGTATAATCCCAACTCACAATGAGATATTAAAACCCAAATTCACCCCGTCACCGAATAAATGTTCTTATTTTGTGGGCAAAACTACGTAAGCGGCGATACACGGGCCCGTGGATAGAATATACAATGTACAATTAAGATTACAATATTACATTAATAACATGCAAGCGTATGCATCAACGTTTCTACCTATTCTTTGCAATGTACATGTGTAAGTTATAACTGACATAACCACTTTTACCTTAGATGGTAAGAAAAACACATTTTTTACCAAGGTCTCGAACAAGTACAAATTTTAATGATTTTTTTCAAAAAGTGTATCATCAAATTTACACAGGGTTTCAATGTGCAAACTGCGATGAAATATATCTGTTACTGGATATTTCATTTTTGTTCTGTCAATGTAGTTCTCTCATTTTTCTTCGAAAAAACACAAAATAAAAAGATAAGTGGAGCTGGCATTATCTGTGAGAATATGATATTCTATTGTATGTATTTCATTGCCCAGGTTCAACAAGCTGCTGCTATTGAGCCATTGATAAACTGCCCTCTAGGTCAATGTCCTGTAAGTAGAAATATTGATAATGAATTCATGAATAGAATGAAATGAATGGGATTTGGAATAGTTAAATGTGTTTAAAAACATGTATGAAGTTAATATTGGCAGTATCCACTGCAAATATGTCAGGGTTAAGAGATCATTTTAAATCATGGCTAATATGATGATACAACTACAGCATCTACTACTACTTCTAGTACTAGTACTACTACTTCTACTCCTGCTACTGCTACAATGACTACTCCTGCTATGACTACTACTACTACTACTTCTACTACTACTAAGAATAATAATGATAATAATAATAATAATAATTATACTACTACTAATGCTACTACTAATTACAGTATTGTGATTAATTTATACCACTTGATATACTACTATTGCTCCTTTTGGAGCACTTTTTACCAGAGAACATGTAAGTGTCTGAGTACCAATTTTTCATAACCCTCTGCCTGCCCTCCTCCTCTTGTTCTTTTGTTACTTCTTTTACATCTTGATCATGGTCCTCTTCTTGTTTCACTCTTCCTTCTCATTTTCCATCGTCTCTTCTGTTTCTTTCAGGTATTGCTGACATTACATGGCACAGGTGTGGAAGCCCAGAATCAAGCCGACGGCTACAAGAGGATGGAAGGCGAGAGTTGGCTCTTTGGTCTTGAGAAGGCTTGGGTTCTTGCTCCAACTAGGTGTGTGCAGTACTGTATAGAATCTTTCATCTGTTAAGAGCTAGAAGACTGTTTTTAGCTCTACAAATGTTTTTGCAGCAAATACATTTTGATTTTGTTTCATTGTCTGTGAAACTGTAAAACAGGCATGATACTTCCTCTCTTATTAGTTGCTTTCAGCTGATTTTGAACTTTGTTTTTCTCATTTGCATGAAGAAAGAAGAACTAACATTGACATTTAAAAAACATAGAAATGATGTCAATCGGGATAAAAAAATGTCAAAAAAAAGAATAAGAGTATTGCCTCTCAGAATACAGCTAGATCACTATACAGACTTCTACGGCTCCATCTTGTTCATATATCTAGACTTTCTCGATCTCATGAACAATACGAATAAGAGGCTTTACTTAACATTTACATTATTATAATAAGAGTTTAGGTGTGATATCTTGACAAATGCATTTTAATGATGAAATCTGCATTTTCAGACATAGTTTATATGGATGGGAGCTTGTTATGCCAGATGAGGTTATATTGTTATTCATCTTTAATAGTACACTCTTTGTGTGTAACCATGGCAATCGTGACATTAACACCCCTCCCTCCATTACCCATCCATTATTTGTGTAGGCATGGAGCTCACAACTGGGAAGGCCCTGGCACTTTGACTTCCATCACAGCACTTGAAAGTTTGCATCAGGTGGGCTATTTATTTCATTTATTATTATTGTTTGAAATCTGTTGATTATCTTGAGAAATCAACAACATTCTGTGAGAGTTCCTTAACTCTCTATCTAGTCTTAGAACATAGTAGCCTTTGTTAAAAATAGAATGATATTCTGTTATAAGAGAATCAAAGCTCGTCAACAGATTCATAGCAGTGCAAAATCATCAAATATATCTCTTTTATGATTGACTCCCTGCTTTTTCATTGAACTCCTTTTTTTTAGTGGTAAACTAGCTTGTCTCTTTTTATTTCCTCATTTCACCAGCTCATGTCAGAGGTTACATGGATGCCCAACAAGCCTATGACTGACCTGGTCATCTTTGCTGGACACTCCATGGGGGGTCATGGGGCGTGGCATCTGGCCACCCATTATCCTGACAGAGCTCTAGCAGTGGTCTCGCTAGCAGGGTGGATCAAGAAGGAAGAGTATGGCGATAGCAATGTTTTCTTCAGGTGAGTTCAAAATTTAAAATACACTAACCTTCTAATTCTACCCATCAGTAAAGCATGTCTAGAAAATATTATAATTAAAATTTACATGCATACAAGTAGTGAAGCATTACAGATTTTTAGTATGATTGAAGCCTTTTTTCTCTTCTTGTAATTTTTGTAACAAAAAGATGTAAACATCTTCTTTAGGTCTTTCAAAATCTTAACATTGAATGCTAAGCCTGAGAATGCTCAGCATTATTCCCATTAGAGAGCATGTGTACTCGAAATAAAATTGTCCCCAAGAGGTTAGAAGGGTTAAGATTATTTTTTGGAATTTAGGGTAATATGTTACATTAAAATGGTGGACTGTTCTAATTAAAGTTCACACTGATGGGGACACTGTATATATCTCTACAAATTTTGAATATGTTTGCAGATACTTGCAGTAATATTTTTGTGACAAAAAGATATTGAATGAGTGTAAAAAATTATGCCAAGGTCTAGTATTAAGAATTTTTAGCTCTATGATTCTACGATAACCGTCCTTTGCGGTTAAATAGTGTTCTGTGATTTTAAAATCCCTGCATACTTCAAACTTGTTTTTATTTGTAGGCATGACATCAGTACTAGCCACACGGACCCAGCGACCAAACAAGTTTTAGAGGTAGATAGTGTGCATGTTTTGGTTTCTATCATTCAAATTGTTATTTTTCATGCAAATCTGTCCCTACATGATGATGATACTGGGTTAATCATTGTGATGAAATTTCTTGAAGAACAAACAATAAGACCATTTTCGTAATGTAACCAGCTCTAATGCATTTGTCTTTGTGAAGTGCTTCAATACAAATATTTCATTCACCTGTAATGAATAATTGTATTTCAATAGTCAGAATACAAAATGCATATATTATGTGTTGTTAGGTAGGGCAAGTCATAATGTTTATCCTACCTGGCAACACCTAATGTTGGCATTTTGCATTCTGACTAGTGAAATACAATTATTTGTAAGAGATGAATGAAATAACTTGTATCGAGGCACTTCACAAAAACATAAACATGCATTGGATTTGATTACATTAGATAATAGTGTGGTACGGTATGCCACTGAAACAGCTCCCGTAGGATTTTTGTGCCAAAGTTGATGTTTTTGCATTTTTGGATTCATTGGGGTCCAAGCTATCAGAAATTGATGGGGTTCAAATTTTCCCGAAGACACCAAATTTCCCTATTGTTCGTTATATAAGCCATTTTGGCGCCCCAAAAGGACCCCCCAGGAAATGAAGGAAGGGTCTGAAAATTTGAACCCCATCATTTTGGGCCAATTGGGACCCTTTTGAAGCCAAAACAGCAACAACAAAAAATCAACTTTGGCACAAAAATCCTACGGGATTATATACCATACCGCACTATAACGTTTCGTATTCTGTTACTTGGAGTTCTAAGACACTGTATCTAAATGTATACTTAAATAAACCAATCAAATTGTCCTATCATTTTTCTATTTTCAATTTCCCTCTCTCAGGCTTGTATAGCTGAAAATGATGCAGACAGACATGTTTCTAACCTTCAGGTATTTACATTGTTGAATGATCTAAAGCATTAGTCAAGGGCACTTTGTGAGTGTATCGAGGGAAACAATAGTACATTCTAAGACAAAAAAGGTCAAATAACATAATACTGGTCATGATAAAAGATTATAGCAAGGTGTTCTTGTCACTGTGTGAAATAACATATCATTATGTCTCTTTGTTGATTTTGTTTTTGTGGGAGGGGGTGGGGATCAGAAAAAAGAAAAAGGTGAGTGTGGTGGTTAAGACATCCTTGGTTTTCATTAATTCATCCATATATTTACATTATGTGGTTCTTTCATTATGTCATACATCTATAATTTAGACACTATCAGATGATGTTAATTTGATTTCTTTAGGGTTTACCGGTCCTGACAAGAATTGGTGCTAATGACAGGACTGTTCATCCCTTCTTTGTAAGGTAAGGACAAACAAAAATAAGTTGAGCGTGATATATACTCCAATAACATATTAGAATTGTGTCTCATTGAGAAAATGTTTTCAGTTCTATAAACTTTGACCCATTTGACTTTTTAATTATTACACTTGAAGAATGAAAGGGAGACAGAAATTCACACTAATGTGACTGGAAATAGAGTCAATGAATGACCAGGCTTAAGTTCTGCCATTGTGCCATTCTGTGGCTCTGTCCTTATGGATCACTGAAGAATAAGACTAGGCCCCAATCTTAGAAATAGCTGCGATTTATCCGAATCCATCGCAAGTCCTCTAATCGATCGCAAGTTTGCAGTCCCCTATCTCTTTTGTACATAGTTGCAATTGATATCATTCTTAAATAAGTTGTGATTAATCGCAACTGTCTATAAGACGGGGGCCCAGGATATACAACTTGCTGTCTAGACAGCAAACCATGAATCCCAATCGACCTTCACTCCTCATTACGAGTCTTCAGAGATCCCACTTTGCTTATTCAAGAATGGTGTTGCAACTTACACATTGTTAAATATTGTTTTTTGCAGGCGTATGAACCGTCTACTGAAGGAGCGAGGAATCAATGTAACATACAGCGAGCTTGCTGGAAAGGAACATTGGTGGTGGGACACATGGTAACTATGGCCCTATTTCACACATTTTTTTTTAAATCCTATAAATCATAGTTATTGAAACATCTTAGTTTTTACTCAGACAAGCATCATTCAATCACTTATTGATCGTATCTGCCTGAGTTACATGGTAATATGTTTCATTTACAGTTAACAACTACATTATTCATACCCTTAATGAGTTTTGTAATTTGCTCAAGTATGTGAAAAATTAATTTTGTCCGTATTTATGTTTCTTGATAATGTGACATATTAAAGGTTACATCTAAAAATATTCAATGGCGGCCTCATTTCCAGTAGTCCACCTTCCATTCTTGAGTTACAAAAAAAAAAACATCAAATTTAAAATGAGAATGGATAATTCAGTTGTTAACTGTGGCTCTGTTTTGCAAAGTACAGAATCTAATTTACCACACATTCTAAGCAAACTGCAAAATTGTCTTTTTGCTACAAATATGTCACAAGTATGTATCTTGTTGCTTGGAGTGTTTAGGTAAGGCAACATACACTTACACAGTCGTTTGTGAAATAGTCTCAACTTTAAATTCATTTTAAGATCAGTTTGTAAGAGTAATGCTTGTAGAAGTAATGAAAGGTCACTTACATGCTTTACCAGGTAATCTCCATGTCCTGAATTATTATTTTGTATATCAACTATAGATATATAAAACTGACAACTGTTTAAATATCACAACCAGTTGTTGGTTGTCAATATCAGTGAGGGAACATGGGGGTCCTGATACAGCTAAAGAGTTATTACTAGTATCTCTTTGGTACTAGCACACTCATTCAGAAAATGCTCAACAGTCTGAATTTGACCACATGGACACTCATTCAGAAAATGCTCAACAGTCTGAATTTGACCACATGGACACGGATCAGAGTCTGTGATACCCAGAGCTTCATGCTTGCTGCAGAGCGGCCTGTGCCTGATCATGGACAGTTCAGCTGAAACCAGGGTTTCGTGGGAAGGTTGCTACCAGGAGGGTGAAAGGAACAAGCTTTAAGATATGGGTGTGAGCCTCTCAGGGGTAGCTGGTTCTGTAGCACCAGCTACCTCAAGAGGCGTACAGGCATCCTTGAGGACAGTCTGCACGGGGGCTCTTTTTCAAAGATAAATTAATGCAACAGGTAGTCCAGCCGATGTCCTGCAGAGAAGGGCCATAAAACGTATACCCTGTTCTTTTTTCTCGACAGGAAAACTAACGATGGAGGAGCTGTGAACGACCCCAAACTTAGAGACTTCACCAATGCACATGCCATACTTCCACCATCCCTATCGCACACTGCTACTTCAGAATGCAATGTTGGAGAGGGAGAGGGAAGATGTACCCCATCCTCTTCCGAGAACAAGTATTCTCAGTCTGCCAGTGGATCAGGGGAAGGGGGAGAGAGGGTCACGCTGACTGTGGTGAACCCCGCCCTAGGGGAAGGTCTGAGAGGGGCGAGGGTTATACAGCAGCTGGTTCCATTTAGAACAAGTACCATTAAGGTGAGTGGACGAATAGGTTGTAAAGGTTGTGAAATACATAGGCCTATATCTGTCAAGCGTTTTGAGTCGCCTGCAGTCCTGAAAAGCACTTTTTAAGAACGAGCTATTATTATTATATTCAATATAGATGTTTATTAGTAAACATTATATAAGCTGATGTCAAACATTTTTTAGCCATTCGCATTGGATTTGAGGTTCTACTGAACATGTCTAAGTTTAATGGACATGGAAACGTTAAGCCTATATATTTTACTGGTGGAGCTAGGCTTTAGCAGAACCTTTCATTGTGTTTCACATGTTTTTATCATTATGATTTGCATGTGCACATTAACAGCATGTGATCTTTTTTCCACTGGTACTACTTAAATAGTGACAATTGAATATCTTGGTGACTCAACAAAAATTGTGCTCCTATATTTTGTGGTCACTCTTGTAGATGGTACTCTCAAATGATAAAGCTGAGCTCTCTACAAGAAATGTGGCTCGATTTTCAATCACAGCCCTTCGTCATATATCTTACAACTGGAGGAACATCAATTTATTACAGGTATTTGCTTTGCTTCAATGTTTTTTTGTTTTTGATATGATAATTAGTAGGGACTTAGTTTAATAACATCATGGAATAAAATGTTAAGTTGCAAACGCTGTTGCTTCCCCTGCAGGAATGGTGTTAGCAAGGGTATTCCTATAATAACTTTGTTAGTAGTTGCTGGGGTATTGTCGTGCTGGACAAAAGAAACCAGGGAAACCTAAACCCATTCATTGTCAGTGAATGAATAACTAAATAGAAAATTGAAAATTCTATGTTTCATCTAGGACAGCCCTGAGTTTTATTGATCAAAACATTTACGATGGATGGTGTTTGTGAATTTTCCCCAATGGTGGTTAAAAAAAATTAAATCCATGAATTATGTTTTGCACAAATTATTTGTTGGTCAGATTGATGGCATTCTTTTGGACTCGGAAAAGGAGAGTGGATCAATCGTGAAAGAAAATTCTACACATTTTTGCAAAACAGACACAGGTAAAGGTCATTATATTATATTTGGTATGTTCATAATAATAATAATAATAATAATAATAATCTTTTAAAGTCCATTCCAAATTTTATTAGGTTAAACCGAAAATGGAAATTCTTTTTGCCCAATTGATCGTGAGCCCGGGAGCCACTGAGCAGCGCCAGATTGACGTTGCTCTATCCCTTATTGTTGAACGCCAAACAAGGTAGCAGTAACTCCCGTCTTTTAACGTCTTTTGGTATGACGCGGTCAGGGTTCGAACCCACTACCTCCCGGTTGAGAGGCGGATGCTCTACTGACTGAGCCAACACACCAGTATTTATTTGAGAAAAAAATAATCATAGGATTTGCATGCTTAAAATTGTCTTTGGTAAAAGAAAAATATTTTCATTGAAGCTATTCTGTAAGACATGAAAGCATTTCATTTCATAATTTTGAATTTACTTTGTCAACTATGTTCTTTATTGTGCAAGCAATTGATTGAAATGGAATAAATTCCAAACAATCAATCAATAAAAAAACTGCATATGGATAATCGTAAATCTACCAAAGAGTTCTATTGAAAATGTGATAACTATCAATTAGATTTGCCACAATTTAGCCTGAAGCATATTTGCACTTGATGTCTCCAAATCTGTTTGTACACACATGCCATGCACACACACAACTGAGTTTGTCATGAAGTAGAGATACCATGCCATTATGAATTAATCTCTCGTTTCTTACCACAGGTTCATGGCAGATTTGTGCCAGTGCTGTTTTGAAGGATGGTGAAAGAGATTCTGATACGTATGGACCTGCAAGAAGGGTAGCAGAGAGAAAGTTTCTGATTGTCACAGGTACTATGAATAATGATAATAATAATAATAGTTTGTTCTTAAATAGCGCGTTTCAGGACCACAGGTCCTCTCAAAGCGCTTTACATAATATATATTATTACCCCGGTCATCGGATTCAGGCTTACCTGCACACAATGTAGGCACATTCTCCACTCCCTGGGGAGCATACCAGCTAGGTGTCATTTTTACAAGCGCACACTTGCTCATCTAACCACATTAACTTTTGTATCCTACAGGGTACCCATTATAAAGTATTCATATTTATACATTCTCCTCTTTTTGTTATAGACCAAGGTAATATAAATTATATTATTATAGTAACTCAATTTCTAAGGGTGTGGACAATTATAGTGTTTTAATTTAAAATTGGAAAAATTAAATTCATGATCAAGTAAACCAAGGGTTCAAGTTTCTTTTCCGATATGAAAGCCAGGTTTTGATTTTCTGAAAAAAGGAAAACAAATATGTGTCAAAATACACTCCTGCAGTTTTGATTTACGCATAGGCCCCATGCAGCTACTTGTAAAACAACTTTTTTTTTTTGAACCCGTTTTTGTACCAGGTACTATGAATGAAGAGACCAGTGCTACCTTACTTCATCTTGCCGTCTACCTGGCAAACCTTTTCCTCTTGACCTCTGACACTGTTGCCACGGTGATCGAAGATGCCACCCTGACAGTCGAGATGGCAGCCCCGCACAATCTCATTATTATTGGTGGGCCAGGAGACAATGGGTGGGCGCAGCGATTTGTGGATCGAGTACCACTGGGTATCAATGAAAATGGTAAGCAAATATTTTGATTTTTTTTGTTTTGGGGGGGGGGGTTAAATTCCCACTTCCCTCTCTATTATTAGTATTTCTTGCTTTATGTTTAAAGCACAGATGGTCTGAAGAGTGATATGCACTGTGTGAATATTGTTAATTCATACTGTTATTATTGTTATTTCTTCAGTTTTATTTAAGTTTCATAGATATTTGACTGTGAAAAGCTATATGTTATGTTATCTTCATATCACCATTTTGATTCCAAAGCAACAAAAAAAGTAATCTGTAGGTTGACATGTAAAAACGAATTAGTCAGTTCTGCATTTCACATTTCAAATCCTTCTTCAGGGCTATCCTTGGGGTGGTGCCACTTTTCAGACCCACAGACAGGTGCCCTCTTCCTTGCCCCTCATAGAGAAGGGTCACTTGCCCTGGTACTGATGGGCAACTCATTACAAGGTTTAGAAGACATCATGAGACTAGCCAGCCCCACTATACCTCCCATGACAAGATCACCTGTAAGTATTGAATTATTTATTGGTGAAAATATGCGGTTTCATTTACGTTCATATATTTGATTAAATTCTTTGAAATAGTCATAAAAGATGTTGAATTTTTGCAGATGACTTTACAATAATAAATCATAATTGGGAGTTCAAACTTGTAGCTTCCGTGATGATGCAATTCTTATGAATTTTCACCTGTTTTTCCAGACTACTTCTTTCTTGTTTAGGTTGAACACATGTAGTACCCCTGCTACTTGTAGAATGAATCAAATGTACACAAAATGATTCAGGAACTTCATGAATGTAATGAAATGTAGTGAAAGAAAAGTGTTTTCTGGCAAAAGGTAGAATGGTAGATTTTTTTTATTTGAATTGATTAATACTGAGAAAAATTCATTAATCATGTCTGAATGTACTCTGAAGTACATGTACTTCAAAAAGATGATTAGATATGTAGATTATAGATTATATGGGAGTCACATAACTAAAAAGAAAAGAAGTTTTTATGGCCGGTTAAGTACATTGGTTCCATCTCTTTCATCATCTGACCTTAGTTTTCCAACATGGTACCAGACTATGTCATCACTGGACCTGACTTCAAAGCCAAAGGACCTGGTGGCTATGAGTGTGCTGGATTCTGGGGCAATATGTGGGACTACAGACTAGAAGCTTCATCATGTGTGTGCTAGATTTAGATTGTAAGGGAAATCTTTTTATTAATCTCACCTTGAATAATGATAATAATAACAATATTTGGTTCTTGTATAGCGCATATCACATTATACAACGTCTCTATGCGCTTCCAAAGAGCTTTGGAAATTATTACCCTAGCTTTAGCTCCAGCAGCTGTAAACAGCGCACAGAGTATTTCAAGGAATAATCCTACCAGGTACCCATTTACCTTACTGGGGTCGAGTAATAATAATACCAGTAAGATACAATGTGCTGTGCTTGATAGCCCATTGACTGCTGGATTCTCTAGTTTCCATATACTTAGAGATACAGGGGACTTCTTATTACCATACTATTATGCAATGGGTTAAAGAAAGACCATTTAGAGCATACATGCCGATGCCTATTTCCTCTGTCACACTAAGGCGAGGCGTCAAAAATATCGATACCAGCAGGCTGCCGCCTCACGTATTGGCGCATCGAGGCTGCAATTACGGTCGAAGCCTGGCTGGGGAAATTATTTTTCACTTATTAGCCCAGCCGGCTTGCGCCAGGCTGGGATCTGAGGCTCGGTTTCCATTCGAAAGGCGGCAGCCGGCGCATGCTTTTGAATGCCATTTCCTACCGCCAGCGGTAGCCGGCTGAGCTAATTTAAAAAATGCAGCCAGGACGCACAAGTGCAGTTAGCTGCCGCTGGCTGGTATATTTATTTTTAACGCCTCGCCTAACAAGATCAACAAGAGACCAAACAAAAAATTACATTACATGGTTTGGCCAAGAATGGGTCCATTTGGCATGAGATTGAAGTTGACTTCTCAGTGTGACTAGACTCAACTAGTAATAAAGATTATGCAAGCGGGATATTTATGTGATCAATCTCTTGCATAGCACTAAGTCTGAAAAGTTTGGATGTTATATTCTTCAAGTAGACGCCTAGCAAAACCTTTTCAATTATTATTATAGAAAACCCTGTTATAACATGGGTCAAAAGCAATAGAATAATAATTAGTACAGAGAATAGGACCAACAAAGTTTGTTTTCAGTAAAAGAGTTCTTTGCGATGTTGTTCCACTGTATTACTTGGTTTTAATTTTTTTGTTCTATGTACATGTCGCTCAAAACGTGGGAGTATAGGGTTGATGTGTAGAGATTGTGATGGGAGCTTCAATGTAGATATTAGCTTTTTGTTTTCGGAATAAATATCCTTATATTTTAGATATTACGATCATGGGTTTTAGAGGGTCATTGGGAGGAATATATAGATTTGCGTTAAATACCAATATTTTTTATTTAATTGTTGTAATTTGTTTCTTTACCTTTGCAATTATCACAATCCTTTTGCAGATATGAAAAGAAGGTAGATGGAGGAAAAAAAGACTTTAGCGTTCACTTAACTGTCACGTTGGAATATGCAATATCCTGCATATCAATAATTATGATTTAAGTTGCTCTAAAATTCAATTTGTTGCCAATTTAACTCTCTCTGAAAAAGAAAGAAGGGATCATCTTTTAAGTGCAATATTTATTACCATTCTACAATGATCTACAGTTAAAAACTGAATTATTCATACCCCTTGTAAATTTGATGTATGTTGTGTTTTTCATTCCTCAAGATGGAAGGAAAGGTGGCCAGGTTGAATAAGGGCCAGGTTGAATAAGTGCCTTTGTTGAATACCTTTAGATGTAAGCTTTACCGAATGTCACTCTCTAAAGAAACGTACATCAGGACAGATCAATTTTCACATTCTTAAAAAATGTACAAAACTTGGTAAGGGTATGAATAATTTAATTGTTAACTGTTAATTGTTAATGTGTACATCTGTGTATGTGTAGTGCATGAAATTATGCCTAAAAGGCTGTACATGACATTATAGTTATGATTAGTGAAATGACCATGGCTGGTCGTTGAAGTTTACTAAATCATCTTTGTTCTTCTGTGTTCTTTCAAACATTGGAATAGATTGGTTCGTTAAACAAATTGTAATAATCTGGACTTGTATAGCACTTAATACGAAATACCATCTGTAAGCGGTTTACAGATATGATAACCCCGGTTAACGGTTTCATTCACGCACAATGTGCACCATCTCCAGTCTTTGTGGAGTATTTCTGCCATATGGTCACTGTGAGGGCATATGGTTATTACTAAGACAAAGGCTTTCATCTTCTTACTAGGTTTTCCATTTCTCTCCTTGGTATGGAGTGGCAAATGTAGATGAATGTCTTGCCTGTTGCCTGTTGGGGATCAAACTTACAACCATTGTATTTCAAGTCAAGTGCTTAAACCACTCTACAACACTACTTCAACACCTCTAAAAAAATATATCTCATTCGTTAACTTTATAGCATTCAGTGTAAAAGATATATCAGAGATGTGACAAGAATAAAGAGGATTAGTAGATTCTTGTGCTCTGAAATAGTGTTTTATTATGAAATATAAATGAATTGCAATGTTACATTCAAAATGTTTTACAAATAATTATTTACACAATGTATTAGATACAATTATGAAGTTTGCCGAGAGTTGCTTACAACATTGAATCACTATTAGTAACAAGTAAGAGATGAAACATATACAAATCAGAGACTTCAACATTTCAGCAAGACAATCAAATTATACTAGTCAATTTTGGCAAACATAAAGACCTGCAACTATGAGAAATTTTACATCTCGCTATTCAATTTCAACACAATCCTTTTCATTCCAAGTTATAAGTTCTCTGGCATCTGAAACTTGACATTTTCGTTTATTTATGACAAGTGCCTATCTGGACACATGTGCAAACCTTGATCTGACTTATGTTCTAGCAACAATTTCTCCAGGCTATATTTGGTCAGAGATGAATGCTTATGGTTAGTGGTGCTGTTGGGTTTTATATAGGTTTAGGGTTAGATATATGTTTGGTTCTGGGTTGGTGTTGGTAAATTGACCAATTAAGGAGCAATTGTCGTCGGAGCATGTTTCGATAAATTTTGCACACGAGTTGCATCAATATTAGAGTGTGATACATTGTATGTGTGATTCTATCTGAGAGATGTTTACATATGGCAGTATTTTTCAATAACAGCTGTGTGGTGAGAACCGGCAACAGTCTTCCTCAAAATGTATATTTCTGTTCATGTACATGTTTGTATAATGTCACATATGCCAACTTGAAGAGAAGTGGTTTTATTTTGTCATTCATGTAATGAAAGACATGGAAATAAAATTTATGAAAATATAACTACTTGATCTAATGTGTACTTTCTTTAAAAACTCTCTAATGAATTTATGTATGTGCATTATACTGTATGTCTTAAAGCAGCAATCCTATAACACTCTTTTATGTTTACATGGAAGGAAAACTTATCTGCTATATAGAGAGGTATATATGTATCGGCATAAATATTCAGCATTTCATAAGGCTAAGTGATCATACTGTAGATCCTACCTTTGAAAAATAAACAATCAGAATATAGGGAAAGCTCGGGGTAATAATAAAATAAAACAATGTTTACACTTTAGACAAAAAGTTCTGTAAGTTTGAATGCTAAACCACATACGGTATATGCTGTTAAATTAAATTATATCTCTTGTATTTGTTTTTCTTAATATCTGAACAAGTCACACCTCTCGTTTGGGCTTAAATTATGTTTCATGTTGAAAAAAAAAAAAGTGGCACAACGAGAAACAAAAACCCAATGAATAAGTACAATGCAGAGCACCATTCGGTTATTGCACCATGCATTCAACACTTTCCCAACATGTTACATTATTCAAACTTTAAACAGTTCATATCAAAGGGCACGTTGTATTTAACAACGATGAATTTTTCTTCAGTGGTTACATTTTGTATCAGATTACTAACTCTTACAAGAGGCTAAATTAGATGTCATCATGTTGTTCTTGAGATAAGGAGCATCATTGTGTTTCCAAGGGCAGCCATTTGTCACATGATAAAGATACTTATTTAATATACTTAGATAATTATTTTTAAGACTGTAGAAGAGAAATCTCACGAAATCATTGAACCACTTTACATTCATTGAATGTCAAAATGTAATCTCTTAATCAAATTTTAACTTGATCTAACTGACAGAGGAGTTTAGTATAATTTGCAATGTTATTCAGCAGTTTTTTTAGTAACTATCTATATACATTTATATGTAGCTCATGTGCTAATACATTGTGTGTATTTCATATATTGTTCATGCATGACATCTGACTAAATTTTGATCAAGTTATTTTCTACTCAATTTATCAATGGACTGATAAACTGATTGGTTGATTAGCAATTAGTTTGACGTTGACAGATCAAGATTAAATTAAAACATGTATTATATAGAGATGCACAGTTGCAAATGAAAAAAAAAGAAATGCAGCATAATTGAAATGTTATGTGTGAGACAAAAACTCGTAGTGGGTAAAACTCCTGAGGGGAGTCAACACAAATATCTTATGTTCATTGTTGGCTTGATCAAGAGCTTGTCCCATGACCAACAACATTTCACAGACACATATATTCTGCACAAAGATTTGGCAGCGCATTGTAATTGCTTACGTTTTCTTATTGCATACTTTGTTGCCCGTGGGAGCCTCCCAAAATGAACGTTCATTCTGAGCTCCACACTGTGATAGTATCATAACTCCCGGTCTTGGATCGAATCCAGATCAATCTCCAGTATGGATTCATCTCCCTCCTGCTCCTCCTCTAGTAGCCCTTCATCCTCCTCTTCCTGTTTTCCTTCCTCTATACGAGCCCTTTCCTCCTCTTCATTTGAAATATCCTCTTTAGTTTGCTTTAGCTCAACCTTTTGTAAGGAAGTTACGGCATGCAAGGACTTGGATGGACTCTTGTGTATAGCTTCTCGTGCTGGCCCCGACCCTGATACTGCCTTCAACGTTTGATGAAGTAGCTCTTTCATGTCCCTCATCTGTTTGAATGGCAGAAAAAGATTGGATCACGGAACTAGAATTTTAAGAATTCGTCTAAAATCTGTTGCACCCATTCTTTCTGGGCTTAAAAGACCTGTTTAGGTTATAAGCTAATGAAAGCAGAGAGATCAGAAAATTATGATTTTTTCCTGTATATCGGAGCAAGTCCGATCCAAGGTATATGGTGCAAGATTCAAGGTTTAATAAAAGCATACCTTTGCAGCCAGAAAATCTCACTAAAGAATCTAAGCAATTAACCTTTCAACAAAAAAAATGTCCATAAAAAGGAAACTCTAATGTTTCTTCTCACATCATACCTGATATTCTAAATTGTCTAGCCGTTCTTTCATCTGAGTACCAATTTCGGGATTGTTGAAAAATGCTGTTGACTTCCGAGAGAGGTTTTCTAGCCTGTTAAAAGTAAAAGGAATGTGATTAATTCAGGTAAGTTGGTTAATGAAAAGTATTAGTAGAACGAATTTGATCAGAAAAAAATTATCAATCATTCTTCCTATCAATTCAGAGCACAAAATCAAATCCACTGACCAGTCAGCTATTCAAATCAAAAAAAATATTTGAGCAATCAATCCATTTTTCCTTAAATTTTTTATTTAAATTTACGTTCTGAAAAGACATACAAAGTCATACTTTCAATATGTAGTACTAGCCAATGTAAGTTTCACACATAACAACACGGAAGTTATGTATCTGAGCCTGGCTTACTTCATTTCTGTTGCACTCATTCGATCTGTCAGGTCAAGATTCTTTGTCTTGTTCCTCTTTGTGACGTAATCTTCACCTTGTATCTTTTCCCACGTTGTGATTTCAGCGATCAAGTCTCCAGGTAGCAATCGTCCTGCAAATTGTTTTCAAAAATGAAGTAAAAATAAAAATTCTATATTCTATCTCTTTGTTTAAATACAAAATTTAGAAGAAAAATTGTTTCATCGTAGGTAAATGTTAAAATAGTACAAGAGTGACGCATAGGATTTTTGTAACGCTTGGACATTGAAATCGCGTTTTAATTTGTTTAAATATATTTTTATATATATACACATGCACACAGCCACATCACTTTAATTTGCCTTTTCCGATATTTATAGAGGTAGATTCGAGAGTTTACAAGAATTCACATTCATGTTTCTAAGACCGACCAATTGCCTCCCCTCCCCATGGCCACACTGACAAATTGGCAATCAATAGCGATAGAGAGGGCTTGGGGCACCCCCCCCCCCCAAAAAAAAAAAAAAAACAAACAAACAAACAAACAAACAAAAACAAAAACAAAAAAACAAAAAAAACAAAAAAAAACAAACAAACAAACAAACAAACAAACAAAAAACAAAAAAAAGTCTCCAAGGGATATTTACGATTGATTAAAGAGACTTCACTTACTGAGACTCCGTGAGAGCGCGAACCTGTCGCAGCATCCGCACCAGCAGCGCAGAATGAAGCTATACAAGATGAAGAAATGACTGATGATGATGAAAGGTGGTGCTAAGATGGGACGGTTGTAGTAATCCTTGATGAGGGAGTAACGTTGAAACTTCCATACTACGTCTGTGTTTTCTTGCACCGAGGCAAACGTATAGCTAGATAGGAAAAATGGTAAACTAATTTGTATTGCGAAAATTTCATGATTCTAACTCAGTATGATCACATCTACACCACATTATGATTTAAAGGTATTCCACAAATTTCATTGATTTGACCTAATTTCATATACCCATCGTAATTGTTTTCACTGGAAATCTTCAAGAAGGCATGGTACCTTCGTTTTCATTAAGTAAACTTTATTAGTCAAGTACATTAAAGTCTGTAAAATCCCTTTACTCTGCGAATCGTCCTTTTTCATGACCTACAACATCAGTCTCTTAAAAAAGAAACGAATATTGAATATTATACATATAATTTTTAAAATATATATTAAAATATATAAACACAGTTTTTCGTGCTTTGGACCATGTTGCTGAAATTTCAAAAGCGATAAGTGCTTTTAGCTTTGCCATCATTATTGAAATATTGTCATGATTTGTGAGCCAGCATCACAGGAATATAGGAATATAGGATTATGCTGCCATACTTCAACATTGCGATGAGGAGATTGAGGAGGAGGACGTTGCTGATGAAGAGATAGACTGCTAGGATAGTCGTTCCGAACCACGTATTAGCAGGACATGGTTCCATTGTTGGGTCCTCGTTCGAACAACCATTCCGTCCTAAATTTGATGAAACACGAAGGTTAATTAGGCTTTCTGTAATATATATATTGTGAAAGATTTTATGTCGTAATTAGCCTAAGGAACAGTGTTTCTTTAGAGAAAATTTAACAACTTAAAGAACGATAACATAATAATAGGAATGCTATTTGTATCCATAAAATGTGGTACATGTAGTTACCCTATTCTAATACACAGAGATGAGTACAAGAGACTGAAACGCAATCACTGTAATCCCAAACCAATGATTGATGATTTGCACTGCCCGACAAGGTGCCCTTGCGGCTGTTACATTTTTCGGTTTTTATTTCATTTTTATACTGACTTTAAAGTTTTGATTTCATTGTGTCATACTTGTGTAGTTATTTTGATATATTCACTTCTATGTATCGCACTGCATTTTATTTTGAAATTAAAATGGACATGAAAGAACGAACGAAATGTATATTTCGTTCAAAGTTGGTTTGGTATATGTAAGAACAATATGATTGTTACACAAGCCAAACACATTTTCCAGAGGCAATGCAATAAGATTTGTTTTCTTCTAATTTCTCTTGAGTTGGTTTTCTTAGAAATGTTATTACCATTTACTCCTTTTTTTCAAACAAACATAGGGGAGTTGCTTAAATATTTTCAAAAAGCTAGACGGGTGTAGGTCGGGAGAAATTCGCCATCGAGTTAATCGGAAGATCTCAAACAAAAAAAAAGCCTTCATTATAATTATCATATATAGTTTCGTTTCTCATAATATGTTGTTTAATAACTTATACAACTTATACAACAAATAGAACGTATACAACTTATAAACAACTTATACAACGTATACAACTTATACAACTTTTGCAACAGCAACCCCAACCCTCTCCTTCTTTACCAACCTTCCAGTTCCTCCAGGAATAGTTCCCCGTAGATCTGGAAGTAGGAGCGATAGAAGATACCCTTCAACATCTGTCTTGTATCAGCGACGTGGGGGAAGAGGACCGCCTGGCATGCTATACCATAGGCCAGGAGAAACACCATTAAGATACACATGAAGACTACCAGATCGTTCATCTACAGGAAAATAAAACACGTCAAAAGAAGAAAGGTAGAAACTTTGAGCATCGATCTGTTCCCATAATTATAATGATAATAGCTTACAGTTCTCTGAAAGACGTACACATTCATGTATTTATATTCGAGGACGTTTTTTGGAATGTGTTACACGCCCATCATTATATACTATTTTGTCTTGTTTTTGTTTCGAAGAAGGGCATCAAGAAATAGAAAGAGCAAATAGATGTTGTGTTCTTAAGGACACCCAATCTCTCCCCGCAACTCAAAATGACCATCAGCAAAACCAAAATTCCTTTTATTGTCATCCAGTTTTAAAGATCATAACTGTATTTTTGTCCCTCCCAGAATTCATGACCAAACACTTGTTCATAATATTAAAAGTAACATGTCCTATCCTTCTCTTGTCGGCGATAGGTAATTATGTGAAATTAAAGAGTGGTTCTTCTTCTTTTCTTTTGGTTATTGTTATTTACGAATGTCTATCTGCGAATTCGTCCGATACCACAGGAGTAAATGCGGAACTTTGCCAGGGGGCTGGCGTCTTTCATCTGAATATCAACTTTTAAATATCAGATTATTGCAAATGAGCCAATTTCTTAACACTTTATATAGGTTACAATCAAGTTTCGTTACAAGAAATATATTAAGCAAGGTGTAAAATAAGCAGTGACAGTTGCCCAAATATTAGTTATTTCGAAATTCCAGGCCCCCGCCTCGTATGCTTATATCCGACACCCACCCACCTATTCAAACATATCGCGACCCCTTCCCTCCCTTTTGTGGTTCCCTGAAACTATTTTCTTTCTATCTATCTTTCCTCTTTCGAGGGACTTTATTTGTTCATATCATAAAATATCAGCTATTTACAACAGTGTTTATAATGAATTCATGCAATTGTAACATATCATATATTATAGTAAACAACACGAAACTAATGTGACATAATCACTAACTAAACAAAATTAAAATAATTTACCATCTTTATGATCATGATGAGTTTGGGTCCGAGATGCTTGTTGACTGAGAAGATATGGAGAAGCCGTATGTAGAAGGTCACCAGGGTCAGAGAAAGGACAATCCGAGCGGCATCAAGCATGCCGGGGTAGTGTCGGAGCACGGCCCCGGCAGTGAACATGATCACGCACACAGCATCTACTAGGTAGTAGTAGTTAAGAAGCCAGGATTGGATGAACTTACGGCAGTCGAAGAAGCCTCCGATGGAGATCATCTAAATGACGAGGAATGAGATGTATTTGGTTTAGATTCATATATCTCATTTGTAAATATATTTTATTTATATCTCATATATGTGAATCGGTCACGTAGAAATATGTCCTTTCATGGTCACTGTTGTATACGTCGTCTTATTCCATCAAATTGTGGAATAGATTTAAGCAAGAGTTGAATGTTGAGCGAATTTTATTAATTTGTATAATATGTGTACACTGATTTATTTAGAAGATGCATTCACTATGTGATATGTCTTAATACGATTTGCTGGATAATTTTAATGTAGTTGATTTATGTTTGTATAAATATTTATGTTTTTACGCAATGTACCAAATTCTGCAATTCAGCCATCTGGCCGCAAATGAATTTTCAATAAAACCATTACCATAACCATTACCCCATTTCTAGCAGCAAATACTCGTAGTTGTACGTTAATCTATATGCTACAGATTATTTAATTTGATACGATTTCCTTTCATCTATCACCTTTCATTGTTCTATTGTAAAAGGATTCAGATTTAATGGAAAATTATATCTAATCTACTTTTTGAACAAGAAATAGTAATAAATATGGAGATTTTGTTATTTGGGTATAAAATAAGAAACCAATATTTTTATTGTTCACCTTTGATAAATATTTTATGTGTTTTGTATATGTTTGTTAATATGGATAACATGTAAATAAAATAACAAACATAAGTTCTCATGGAAGACACAAAAATATTGAAATTATGATTGGCTTCTCGAGTTTGTCATCCATAAAGTATACCCAATTTTGACATGTCTGAGCGGACTTGAATTTTGAAGCGCTCCGACAAACCGACAGAGCGTGTATTCTTGGTCGATATAGCGTGCATGTTCAGTGTAATTTGCCATATAAGTACTCTTTATTACCAGTTATAAGTAATCAACTCCTTTATAATTATGTTGATGTTCTTGGACTTGATTTTCATCTAATCATTGGATTTTTGGAGAACTGTATACAATCTTTTCGCCTTGACTACAACTCGCAGCTTGAAACCGCAAGCTGAAGAGCTTACGGATTGCATAATGGATGAACCGGACAGAGCCCTGGAGAGTGAAACTTTGATTTTTTTTAAAGCTAATGAGTGGACCTAAGAAAACTTTGATAAAAGAAGTTACACCAAGAACGTTTCATAAAATTTACGCGAATTATTGACTTTGAATTGCAGGCGAGAAACAGTCGCATAACTGCTTTATAAACAGAGATGCAATTATTGTTAGATCAACAGGATAAGTCAGAACAATACTCTTGAAGAAATCCCTTAATATTCGACGTAATTAAAGAGGACGTGAACGAAAACATTAACGAAACTATTATCAAAATACCGAAATAGATAGAAGCCATAGAAAGGGAGATAGAGATGTGATAGTAAAGTTCACAAATTACCATGTAAGAGACAAAGTCTACAAAAATAAGAGAAACTGCGTCATAGTCAGGATGGGGCAATATATATCCATGAAAGTCTGACAAGAAGACGAACTGAGCTTTTCAGGAAAGTAAAAACGAAGTACATGGAAAAGGTGGAGGCATTATGGATCCAAGATCGCCGCATCCTCGTCATATGATTACATGCGAAAACGCGAATCACCATTGAAAACAACGAAAGGCGACCTGCACAAATTCAGCAAATCTTGAATTATTCGTCAATAGCCATCATCCTATAAGAATGAACTAAGCGCTCGTTGTAACGCTAATCTGGTGTGGATGGATCCTCTCTATTATTCAGTCTGCCCCTCTTCTTTTCTTGGAGAAGAGCTTTTTCAGAGGCCCGAAATTCATGCCTTTTTATCGATTTCAAACGAGCATTTGATAGAATTGATTCAGCTATTATGTTAGCTAAACTGCACAAAATAGGATTATCTAATATTTAGTACTTATCTTGGTTTCAACCATACCTTACGAATAGAAAGCAACAAGTGTCAATTAGACAAACTTTGTCAAAAGAACGTTCCCTATCTATAAGAGGTCCTCAAGGTTCGATACTGGGTCCCCTTCTATTTTTAAATTGACATAATTATTGACGATATGGTCCATGTCTTAAGGGAAGGAAATATCATAATGTATGCGGATGACACCACTTTGTATGTCACCGAAACTTCTATCCGTGACTTGGAGAATACATTGCAACACGAAATGGATGCAATAGGTACATGGTTAAGTGGCAATAGATTGTATTTACATACAGAAATACAAAGTTTATAGTTATAGAGAGTAAATAAAACCTAGTACCTGCACTAATGACATCATTGCATCACCCACAATGGGTTTGAAATCGATCAATGTGCAAGTATCAAATGTCCCGCGATAATAATAGATACACATTTATTGTGGCATGAACAAGTTGATTCTGTATATAAAAAATGTTCGCTGGTCTTGCGATGTTGAGTATTTCAGCGGAGTATTTTAGGCCCCTCCCTCTTTATTGTTTGTATAAATGATATAACTGATTGTTTACGGTTAAGTAAATGTAATATATACGCTGATGATGTTGTCTTATATGTATATTTAGGGATTGAAATTGATGATGTAATATTTTGGGATATCCACATTACATCGTTAAGTTATAAGATTTTTTATTTAAGAAAGCTTGGTAATTTCTAAGCTCTTCAGTTCCATTTTGAATAAAATATACAAAATAATATACATACAGCCTATCTTTGATTATTCCTGTTCTGTATGGGGGAACTGTTCTTTAAAAAACAAAAATATTCTTTTAAGACTACAGAAAAGAGCTGCACATATTGTTGGAGGGAACTTTAATTATGATGTTAATAGCTTGAATATAATGAATTCATTAAATTGGCAATCAACCGACACTAGAAGTGACTATTTTTAGCATGTATTATGTACAACTGTATTCATGCCAAAGCCCAGGTACGATTGTGCAATGAAGTGGAAATGGTTTTTGACAGACATGATTTTAACACTAGACTTGCTAAAACGTTGAATGTTGTTTTACCCAAACCTACTCTTGAATGTTTTAAGAATAGTTTAGATACGCTGGTCGTAAAATCTGGAATATTTATTGATGTCTTTAAACGTATGTACAAGGATTTTTGTTTAAACCTGTGTGATAAAATGCCTATTTATATAACTGTTCTTGGAATGGCTTATTTCTCTCTCTCTCTCTCTCTCTCTCTCTCTCACTCTCTCTCTCTCTCTTTCCCTCTCTCCTTCTCTCCTTCTCTCCTTCTCTTTCTTTCTTTCAAATATTTTCCTCTGATTTTTGCTTTGAATATTTTGAAAACATTTTATAAATTAAGTTGTAAATACTACTTATAAAATAACTGTAGAATAAACTAAAACAATCTATACAACCTGATATTTAGTCTGACTTGCAGTTTATAACAAAAATGTAAGGTATAAATTTGAACTCTGACCTGTCTGATGGTCTCGATGGCCAGTGTCCCGACCCAGCCAATGAGTACATACTCGGTGATGGTCACTTCAGATTTGAATTCAACTAGCAGGACATAGCTGAACAGAGCAAGGAATACGATGTGTGACATCTGTTGAACAATTGAAATTAAAAGAAGGGGTGGCGATAATGATACCGTGAAAGGAATTAATACATGAAATATCACGTTTGGTTTTGATTCTTATTTTAGTGTTAGAACAGTGCCCTAGAGGCTTCATGAGTTGATAAATAATGATGTATGATATCATGTTATCATTCATAATAAGATACTAAGATTACGATTAATCAAATAATGATCGGATGATCCCATAATAGAATATGAAGTCCGATGATCGGTACTTAACAACTAAATAATTATATATGCAATAATAAAGCAGGGATAACCAATCAACAATAACTTTATAATAACCAACTAAGCGAGCAATCAAGTAATCAGGGGCAAACTGGTACTGGTTGGGGAATTTCGATCCGACCGGCCCAATTCATAAATCAACCGGCCCTCCGATCACTAATCGACCGGCCCTCAAGCCAAAATATCGAACAGTTAGTGGGGAAGGCTCCCTTAACTCCCAATTGCCAGTCTGCCTCTGTATGTAATACAATTAATGAAACAATCAATACTTAATCAACTATTACATCAATCACCTACCACGTAGTATCTGAAATTGATGGCCGGAGCACTGAAGAAGAGAGGTAACCGTTTGGTCCAAGGTACCCTGGTCTTCTCCTCATGGTTCATGATAGACTCGAGATTCACCGTCTTGTGTTTGAACATCTCATCAAATGGTAGGAGACTGCAATTGTCACAACAAGTAAATAAACAGAATTATTAAAACCTTGTCTTCAGGCACATCTCAAGAGAGCAAATCTGACGTATGGTGTGATTATTTAATTATGCTATGCTCTATGCTATTTTCTTATTGTTGAGTTCGAATTTCTTGGTTCATCTCCAATAATATGAAATTGAATTACTGTTTATACGAGCAGAAACACCTTACAACAATTAAGGCACGATATATTTAGTTTACTTTTAAGGTTTTCGACCATGTTTACTCTTTTGGGGGTTTTGAGAAGGACGTAGAAAGCAGCGCACTGCGTAAGATGGCTAATCTGTTCTCAATCACTTAATAGCTTAAAATTTTCCGACTTTTATACCTTTTTAAAATTCATAAAACAAAAGCATATCGTAAAAAATTATCTTTAAAATCTGCATCAGGAAAGAAATGGACTCTACGAAACTATTGGTTGATACAGTCATTATATTGTCTTAACTTCAATTTTTCTCAAGAACTTCAATCTATTACTGCATTCTGACGCCAGTCCAAACTGATTCCAAAACCGACCGACGTTCGACCAAATGTTGAACCTGCCAGTGTAGTGTACTAGTGTTTGGTCTATAGTCGGTCTGGCGTCGGTCTCGTCGGTGTGACTGTTGTATTGACGAAATCGTACTTACGTGAAATTTCGTGCTGGGGCATGGGCACGGAAAGATGAGGAGTTGAATGCAATGCTGCCGGTATCACTGAGGATCGAATCTCGTCTCCGATCAAACTGTCCATCTTCCTCATCTTCTGAGTCGAGCTCAAATCGACCACAGGCCCGTGTCTTCGATGCTCGAGTCTTCGTTAAAAAAATATATATTATAAGAAAAATTCTCACGAAATTTATAACACCTTTATGTGCACAATACTGCAAAGAAGAAACGTAAAGGTTGTTTATTAATCATGGTTATGAAACAAACCACTATGAAGTGGAGATATTTTTTGAGTTGATCATGATCAAATTCTTCATGATCAATACTCGGGACTGAAACCGTTAATGCTAACAAAAATTGTGCCACTCGATTATATCTTTTAATCTACATCGTAGATTATTATACAAACCACCGTGAGCCTTAAAGTTAAGTAACATTAAAGGTGACGACAACATTGCACCTAAAGTTAATAATGTAAACATTCAGTCTTACAAACCCCGATATGAATTACTGATACAATTTATGATCGCTTCAAAAGATTGTGGGTAAAAATTGTACTTGTACGGTAATTGATTATGTCGAGGAATAAACAATATAATACGCATAAAAACCATCGTGAATCTAAATGAAAGTCAAAGATGTTGATATAATTAATCTTAATAATCTATATGTCACCCAGGTTCATACAGTGTAGGAACGTATAAAAACAATGAAACATTTCATTGTGCTTCCTTAATTTTCATCACTTATGCCAATTCTCTTGAAACTTTAAGTGAAAGGTTTACCTGTAAGGTCACACTGTAGACCCTGTCTTTTTCTTCGTCTACAAACTTGATACCCCAGAGAGCGTAGAGCGGAAAGAATGTTGCAAAAAAGGACTGGAAGTTCAAAGAATTTGAAAAAAGAAAGGGTTAGCGGGACAGAAAAAAGGATCGAAAGAATCTTGTGAACATACAAACTAGAAGACAGAAAAACGTAATTTTAACAAGAACAATAAAAGACGACGGATAACAAGAACAAGCGACTGAGAGACAATTAAGAGCTCAATCTCTTATTTCAGAACATATCCTAAAAGAGGAAAGTGTAGATGTATAGCGATTATTACAAAAATATCATTAATATATACTATTTCGCTTCATTTATATACCTGCCAATGACTGTTTTGTCTCGATATTCTTCCAGACCAGAGATCATTCAAAACATTCTGAACGGCAGGATGGGCAATGAACTGCTTATCATGTGCTGCTGCCCCAAGACATAAGCACGACACGTTACCCCACTCCGGCATCTCACGTATGAGGAGCAGCGAAGTCCTTCGACGGTCCTCTCTGTAGCAGTGGTCTAAGACACCAACAGCCAGCTTCTCGTATTCCCTTGAAGAAGAAAAAAACAGACAAGGATTTTTAAAAAATACTAATGAATTTTAATAATCAATGGGTAACAAAGACAACTCTGAAGTATTATCTCTCTTTGGGTGTTGAACTAGGGCTTAGAAAGGAGATCCAGAACATGAGTCTCAAACTGCGAACTTCTCGTATTCCCTTTAATAAACAATGAGACAAGAATTTAAAAAATACTTAGAATTTGATTGAGTAAAGCAAGGACAACTCGTAGGTAATCTCGATCTTTGGGGCGTTAATTGTTCAAGCCGTATTTTTTGCATCACCTACCTCTGGTGTTCCTCGAGATTGGCCAGCCTCTGTGGCTCTGTCTCCAGCTTCTGCATGGCTCTCATGATCTTACTAGCCACCAGAGCTCCCCCGATCCATGCCTTGCCCTCATCCCAGAACAACCGGGCAGTCTCCTGCCGATCCTGCAGCACTGCCCACAAGAACAGCTCGCGGCAAGGGTTCAAGATGGGTTGAGAATCTGAGGTAGGTAGGAGTTACGGAAGAGAATATCGATGTAATTCTTTTACATATCGAATAGCTTCACAAGGACTTATTGGGAGGTCATATCCGTGTATTAAGATGCTGTAGGACACTTGCTCATACGACAATAATTGCTCCGCTGGTGTGTCGTATGCATTCTGCCGAAAATAATGAATTATTAAAGCAAAAAGTCCTAAAAATGCAAAATTTTACGGATTTATTCATGGGCAATGGTGAACAGATGCGACATCCCCTCACCACGTCCCCACCACCACCCCTCTTTAGTTACTGAGTGCTTCCTATGGTTTGAGATCATATATATTGTTTTGCTTTCATCAAATACCCAGCTCAATTTTTCCTCAGTATTTGATAACATGTTGCTTTCACATAAATCACCTTCTTGTTTCTCTCCTGTGAGCCCTTTTCCATTTGAAAAATAAAAAATAGATAAACAAAAGTTGCTCTTCTCCAATGCAATTTTTATTAACATGTTAGATAACGTTTCCTGATTGGTCCATTATACATGATCACGTGTTACCTGATAAATAGAGCGGTTCGTAGGAATGTGTTGTGAGACTTTTGATCACGGTACCAACATCTGGAAGATCGACCGGCACCTTATTCTAAGAAGAAATTCAAAAGAAAATACAGATATAATATACATATCATACTCCCATAGCAGACGCAGCTAAGGAGAAACATGGAGCCAAACGAGAGATTAAAAAAGTTATAAAAGATATATTTGGGGATTTGAATGAACACCCATATACCGTCATTCTTCTTTGTCGATTTCACAATTCGTATTCTCTCAACGTTTAGAATTATCGTGTATTAAACAAAAGTAATAAACCTTGTGTTTTACATTTACATTATGATCCTGATTGTATACTGAGAAACATTTCTATCTTCACAAACATGACAAACATCATCTCATAAACAGAATCTAAACTTGTCCATCTGTATTTGCTTTAGGTAAATCATTTTTTGACTTTGAGAATCAATTTGAGAAATACATTTTATGTGGAAAGATACAAGATTAAACACTGAACAAATCAATCATCTTTTAATTGTTTCAAGATTGATTTTTTGTTCTGGAGCATTTCAAAGATAATATGAATTCTTATTGTTTAATTCAGGTCTAGATCTTCACGGATCATTACTTACCTGTCCTCTCTGTTTTAAGAGTAATTTGTACAGCAATGTATCCTCAGAAACCTAGATGAGTGATCCAAAGGAATAAGAGGAGTAGGGTTATTGGAGGAAGAGTTAAAGACCGTCATTACTACTGGGCAAGAAGGGATTAGACCACACAGCGAGGTCACTGACAGGTGGCTATCTCATTAACTCAGCTCTCAACTAACATAAGAAAAAGAGGATCATGGGGGACCAACAGGCACCGATTGGGGAAGTTTTCTATATAGAGGGAGCAAGTAGCTACAAGTAGGACAGTGGGGCTTTAAAACAATAAAAGCAAGAAGAAAAGTAGATAAAAAATGAAAACAGATACAAGACGCTCATCACGAAATATTAAAATGCGACTCTTTATTTAGAATGGGTACAATATAATATTGAAAATAACGATAGACTTGAAAAGAAATAGGCGCCGCTAAGGGTTAGTAAAACGTTGCTTCTTGATGTGAAATATAATAGTGAATAATACTTAAACATCAACGATAACTACAATCTACTAAAAAGCAGGAATGTATGCCTCCAGACGTCACTAAGATCATCATCTCATGAACACGTTTTCTTTTTTCTCTCATTTATTTGATTCCCAACAGAAAGAAACGTTGAAATTCAATTGGCAAATCAAAACTTCCGGAGCAGCTCAAGAAATAGATACATGCATATTAGGCCTTCATAGGACTATTTTGACTTTGTAATTATCTAAGAAAATTCTGTGACTTCTCACAACAAATAACTCAATAAAATAACTAGATAACAACAGTTTTTTTTCCTCAATTGTATATCATGTTACGTATTTGTTCACTTATACCAAAAGCCCACTTTATATCAAAACAATTACCTCGTTATAAAGTCGTCGGAGTTCACCGGCATGGAGGTAGTCTTCGAGCTTGACGTTGATGTCGAGAAAGAGACGGATAAAATCCGTCTGATCGTTCACCAGCGCCATGCGAAGTGCTTCAAACAGTTCGGAGGACTAGAAATACGATGAAAAAAGTAATGAAACGATGAAGGAATTCATTCATTGACAATGCTGATTATATTTTACAAGGAAGAACTGTGATTGAGATATATCAAAGGATGTATTGACATAAGCTATTGGATTCATTACCAATTTAATATCCATTGCAACATAATTTATATTGCTCATCTAATTGGTATGCAAAACGTCGTAACATCAGCAAATTTATACCGTCCTATGGTATGAACCACCTTGTTCCTTTCCTTCTTTCTTGTATTCGTTTTAACATTTACCTTTTGCCCCTTCTTTTCCTTCCTGTCGTCTCACCCTGTGTATATTAATTTTGTCTTCACTCCATGTTTTGCTCTAGACAAGGTCTTTGATACAGACAGTTTCTGAAACCGCTTGAATAATATTATTGGGGTTTTAACCTTCTGAAGCATTTAATTTCGAAAGCCTATTTTACTATCCCATCCTCCACTAAAACATGAGGCCTACCTTCCATTTGTACTGCTTTAGAAGCTGACCCTGTGCCAATGTTACTCGCCTCCAGACTACTGCCATGTGAAGCTGGTCTTTCTTTCCTGATCCCTGTGAACCTGTTGGAGGGAAATCGTAAAATATATTATCACCTCGAAAGTAAGCGGAGGAACATTTAAAAAAACCTCAATTTACGACAAACATTTATATCTCTATAGTTGTTTTTCACATTTCCATTGATAGCTTTAAAAATGAACAGATGCTTGAAAGAAGCTCATAATTTTGCTTCTAGGATTGCACATAATTATTTGCTTTTTCATATGCAAAGATAGTAGGATTTGTTTTTAATTGCTAAGAAATTTTCGCATCTCGTTAATCGTTCGATGACAAATATTTCTCGGATAACAAATGGAACGAGGAAGCCAAAGTGATCACCATTCACTCTTAAAAATGTCTGTTCAAGTATTAAAATAATCTATTCAGATTTGGATTACACGAGGGACACTTACAAAAATCTATTGGTAGACTCTATTCACATTTGAACATATATTTTTTGACAGGTTGAATCTAGAATATTACAGGTGACTTGAATTCTAGTCAAGTTGACGAGGTTCGGGTTAAAAATAAATTGAACAGGTGTTCTATTTTTAAAAAAATGAATCGGCTGATGACTACCTTTGAGGAGAGCCTTGAGGAAAGCTTCGTCGATGTCAATCCTTGGTACTCCTTCGACACCGTCGAGCTCGAAGATAGTAAGAAGATGCTTTCTCTTGACGATCTCGTTGAGTTTCCTAAGGAGTTCGACCGTCTCGCCGGGTGGTATGGTGTCGCCGAACTCTTGGCGCATGATGTTGTGTAGAGAGCTCGACGCCTCATCACTGTATGAGATGTCAAAACATTTATATAACCGGGTATTATCAGAGGCGTAGTTATACTAAGTTCTCTGTATGGTCTAGGACTTTTCGGACCTTTTCTCGATTTTAAGCAGCATTACAAAGGGTATGTTCTCGCTTTTGATTACTTTTTCTTATGGTTTGAATTAGTATTAGTATATGAACATGATGAAACGTAGGCCATTAGCATTTTATCGACGTGGTCACTTGTTGCTGTACTGGTATTATTATATATAGCCATCCAAATACAACCATGAACTCGCTTTCTCAATATTATTCTCTAATACTGGCCATGAGGTTTTATTCGATAATACAATAATAATAATACATTTATAGAGCGCAGAAACATTAAGTAAAACATTTTACTGCGCTACAACAGTTCCTGATATACTTAGATTTACAGTTAATTGAAAATATGTGCTTTCAGTTAGATTTAAAGATATTCACAGATGCATTTTGAAGAGAACAAATGAAATATTATTTGATAAATATCACTCACGTTTGCCTGAGAGCTTTAGCAATGACATTAGCACAGCCTTTGGATCCCGCCAAGACTAGGACCGGGGTCCTGTTCTCGATGGCATTGTGGATTGCACGGATGTGATGAGGTCCACCGTTCACCAGAAAACAGATGACTGGTACGTTGGCTTTAATTGAATATAGATGAGGAAATAAACATATTTAAGGAGAATAATAGATTTATTACTGCCACTATGACAAAGTGTAATTTTTGACAGCTAAAGCCTGGATAAAACAGCCGTGCCAAACTATCACTTAGACTTTACAATCGTTTTCTACTTTTAATTATCGGAATTCTTAACATTATCAATAAGTTGCATTTGGTGGAATGCTAACTTACTAGGCCTATATGTTTTGTAAAGTGTTAATTCAACTTGGATATATGATCAAACTCCCATCTGCACATCATCATGTTAAATAGAAATTGTAGGCTGAGATTTGCCTTAGAATTTGGGCTTCTAATTGCTCTATAAAACGTCAAGTACCAAAATACCGTAGGAGGGGATTCCCCGTACAAGACCCGTCCATCCCCTTACACGGTACCTTTATAATAACACAATGATATCGCAAAGATTTTATTTTCAAAATGAATCTAGGGGGATTTCAATAGCCCTGTGCATTACCTGTTGAAGTGTGCAAACATGACGGATGACGTATTACGTCATCAGAGCGTGATTTATATTGGGCATTGAAATTGGCCTTCGGTTGACTTCTCGAGTTTTCGCATCGATCTCTTTTACGATCTTAATATAGATACATCTATAAACAAAAGTCCCTTAAAGAAATTACTCACTGCTGCTGTGGGTGATATTTCGTGTTGAGATCTCATGTTCGATCTGGCTCCGTATCCTAATCTCCGAGCCCTGCTGATCGCGTTCGCTCATCGGGTCGACGTCTGGTCCGTTATGACTCGACGACGATGACGACGACGACGACGATGACGTGGTTGTATCTGTCTTTGGATCAGTGATGAGGAGGGCGTATGTGTGGTTGGGGTCGAGCATGGCTTGCTGTGCCATGCGTTCAGAACCCTGACCGTATACCACGGGTCTATCGTGCTGGTAGTCAATACAAATGAGATGGGTAACGGTACTTATCAACATCATCGATATAGGCGGTGTTACAGACAAACTTTATGGTTAATATATCAATTTTCAAAACGTGATTGCAAATAAAGGAACTCAAGTGTGATCTCAATAACCTATTATACATAGCAATGATGATATAAGTTCTCGTTATTTTAGGCATGGTAAGAATTCCGTTCGGGGTGGTGCGTCTTTGGTTCTGACAAATATTGGAACAACAATATTGTCATCGTTAAGAACTTCATGATTTTATGATTTGTTCAATTTTATGCTTGCATGATGCATTAATTTACCATATAACAATTTTGTCTCTTGATTTACAAATGAAAGCTCGACAAACTGGCAAAATTGTTTATTCTAAAAATACAAAACATAGAAGAATTCATTACTAGTGCTCCATCGATGAGAGACTGTGCGCCATCGATCTCACTGAGCGATGTCAGTGCGATTGCGGCGACCTTCTTACGACCTCGCCCAGCCCCGGCAGCAACGGCGTGGTCTTTTACGGCCTCGCCCACCGTCTTAACTATACCGCAGTTGAGTCCACTGGAGATTATCCATGCACCTGCGCGATATGAGGGGGAGAGAGAGAGCGGGAGATAGAGATAAACAGACAGAGATAGAAACAGGGAGACAACCATACACAGAGACAGAGAGACAGTGAAATGGGGAGAGAGAGAAAAAAAGAAAGAGATATACATTTATATATAAATAGAGAGAGAGAGAGAGAGAGAGAGAAGGGGGAAGAGAGAGAAGGGGGAGAGAGAGAGAGAGAGAAGGGGGGAGAGAGAGAGAGAGAGAGAGAGAGAGAGAGAGAAATACGAAGATGAAAATCAATTGAAATGAAAACAAAGGCAGAAACAAATGCAAGAAGAGAATAGAAACGTGTGAATTCAAGAAAGTACCAGAGTGATAAAATAAGGGAGAAGGTGGAGAGACATGATAAATATAAATCTGAATTCCCGGCCAATATCTATTTTACTTAGACTGATGTTTTAAAAGAGGCCAATCTATCTTAAGTATAGATGGTGTTATATTTCTGAAATCTAAAACTGTTTTCACGTTTCTAGAAAGTGGAAGAATAAATCAGTGATTGAATAGCATTGAGGCCATTGAAGGTAATTTTGTTTTTGAAAATCTGAAGGACTTTTCCGTCTTTTGTTAAGTTTTATTCATGCGAGAGCGAAGGTGTCGATAAAAGTTCACCTGCGCTTCACCCTCTTTCCGCCATTCTCCGATGGTATAACGACGCCCATGCCCTTCTAAAGTAAATATTTGATAATATTTGGACGTACCCGTGGTAGCAGCAGCTTTGGCGATCCCAACTCGGAATACCTCTCGACGCTGGATGTTCATGTGAAACTTGCTCGTACCCCCGACGATTGAGATAACAAGATTGGGTTTGGGAAGGCGCCATTTTTCCAACAAGAAATTCACCACATCCGTGGGGCAGGCGTTGCTGGGAATCAAGGCGTACTGTTTGTTGGATGAAGGCGTAATGGTGATGGTGGTAGTGGTTATAGTGTGTTGATGTTGTCGGTGGTGGTGGTGATGGCGGTGGAAATGGTGATGGTGGTAGTGGTGTTGTTAGTAGTGTGGCGTTGTAGTTGGTGGCGGCGGTGGTGATGATGGTGGTGGTATGGTAGTGGTGGTGTGGTGGTTGTATGATAGTGAGTATGGTTGTGATCATTGTGGTGGTTTAAGAGGAAGGAGTTGAAAAAGATAAAGTTACAAATGTGTCAGTTAAGCAGCAAAACTACAACATATATGATTTCTCCAACTTCCAGGCGTCCCTTAAAGGAAACGTGCGGCGGTGTTCATCACTCTTCAATGCTAATACACGTGGTATATATATTTCTCATATATATACTTTTCAGGGGCTATGTTCTACTCTAATAAAATATTCCCAAATATTCCCAAATATTCCCAAATATCAACTACGTGATTTTTTGTGTGATTATTTTGGACATCTGCAGGGCGCTATGAACTGCAAAACAAAATAATGTGCCAAGGTGTTACACTGACTTGTCATTTATTAATATATGTAGCTGACCTTTTAGAGCCGTCCGAGGTATCGTATCAACATGTGTTATCCAGTTACCCATACAATATTCAAACACTCTTATGGCACAGTTCAAGGCATACGGCGCAGTTTCACTTGAGAAACTTAATACTTATTTCGAAATCGCGGGGCTACATGCAATAAATCTGAAACGATATTGTGGCACAGATTGAGAAGTACTGCCTTGAATTTCGCTGATTTTCCACTCTCTCAATATATCCCAACAGTGATTGGAATTGATGTGTTATACACAGCATCTTACATTTACGAAATAACTTTTATACTATTTCATTTGCCTTCAACCAGAGTTCCAAACATGGCGGGGTTATTATTTCAAATTGTACTGCAATTTGAAAAGAAGCCCAGCAAAGAAATTGGGGCATATGCATTTGCTCTAAAAGACATATATACTGCTGTCATTACTGTTACTAATGTTACTGCTGCTAATACTACTACTACTACCACAAATGTACTACTACTGCTACTACTACAGTATATCTACTATACTATTGCTACTACTACTACTACTACTACTACTACTACTAATACTACTATATCTACTTCTACTACTTCTTGTACTACTACATCGGATATCTATGCAGACTGCTACTAAAATGTCTGCAATGATTTTTTTTCAACATTGCTCGTGTTTTTAACAGCTAGGCGGAAGCGGATGTTTGCAATGACATATAACTGTTTTCGGAAATGATAATTAAGTCGTTGGTGAAACGATTTTAAACATAAAAAACGTATATTCTAGCGACCATTCGAAAGGTATAATAGAAAGAAAGTAAACAGATGAATAAAAACGTGCTACATGTCACTGGTCCGATATAAAACATGATATTTTGAAAAGGAATGTTTTTTTAATACACATTGCTTTCAAAGCCAAATGAAAAGTTTCATCCGATATACGTAAATGTTGTATTTACAGATTAAGATTCGGATATTGCAGTATTAAAGATACACAAGTGCATTGTGATTTTAGAGCCGGTAATACAAGAGAGAAATTTAAAAAAATCACACTGCAAAATGATGACCTGTGTACGAGCAGTAACATTATTCTGTAGGATATTAACGTATGATCGTATTACCCATCCCTTTAAGTTCATCATTTTTTCTGTTCTCCAATATTATTAGGTACATCCGCATCGATCAACTATGCAAGCCTTTCGATATTTCCGTATCCATAAAAGCATAGGAACGCTGCCAAAAATGGCCAGCTTTTTCGCTCAATTCCAATTCTAGCACCCACCCCCCCCCCCCCCTTCACATCCGTCCATGAGGATTTTAATAATTATGTATTAATGGTGATAATGTTCTTACCCTAGTTTTCAGCCATCTTTTCCCCGTTCGTAATCCGCTCTTTAACTCTTTCCGATACAGGATTTTGCTCGTCTGAAAATCGGCGCTCGGTTCGGGTTGTGGTGTGTAACTGTGGACGGTTTCCATGGCAACTTCCCCGGGTTCCTGGGAAGACGACTGGCCAAAGTTCCTGCGACTAAATTAAGAAAAAAGGTATTGAAAAATGGCGAACGCGTTTGAGCGTGATAAATTTGAATCTCTTAATTTCGAGCTCAATTTAAAGGGTACGTGGGCGGGTCTGTCTTGTGTTTCTTGTAGCTGACGTACGGCTTTCGGAGCCGTGCGTGCTAGTCTCGTGAGCTACTTTGGATCGGGTGGAAAAGGAAAGGGAGGAGGAGGGGGGGGGGGGTATTTCGCCGACTCATGATGAGTAACCAAAGTTTGTGAACTGTCGAGAACCTACGTCAGCTGCCATGATGAGTCAATGTTTTTGAGGGGAGATGTTATATGGGCAAATTCAAGCTGTTTTGTCCCATGTATGTTACCGACCACATCAAGGGTTTCTAGCATATCCGATAACAGCTACCTAATGACTATAACACAGACTATTAATAACAATTTAAACTTATGGTGTGTCGTAGTTCAAACTGTGATAACATTGGATAAGTTGTCATGTGGAGGAAAAATAATTGGCAAAATAGTTTACCTCCGGAAACAGCCACCTAATGACTTTAACACAAACTATGGCACTTGCAAGCATGATTGAATGGATCATTTTGAAGCTAAATTTGTGTATTCTTTCATGAAAGCCTGTCGAAGGTGTGTTCCCCGTATGTTGATAAGCATTACTGAATTGTATCATAGAATTTTTAACATGAATTGACATCAAACATATTTTATGTTATGTGTGATTCAAGCTTCTGTTAGATTATCATCTTTATACAGTCATCTGATTTTTAAATAAGATGTGGTCGAAAACGTATATAGGGCAAAAGATCTTGGACGTAACCCCCTCTCACCCCACAAATTATGACGTTACATTTGATTTCACTGAATAAAAAACAAATTAAAAAATTCAAATCATTTTAAAAATCTGTATACGCCATTCGACATGTTACATGGTAAAAGATACTCACCTCTGTTTCGTTGATTGTCCATTTGGGGGCCCAAGTTTGTACTGCTCTGCTCTGTCCCCAGACGGGCTACTTTCCGCACAGCAGCAGCATGAAGACATGTTAGAAGGGCTTGTCATTCACCTGTTCAACAAGACAAGAAAATAAATGAATAGAAACCTAACAAATCAGATTATATTTTTATAATTATTGAGAGTGCTGATAAAAAATACCATCCAAATAACGCTCAACCAGTGTAAATCCTGCTCTAGAATCTACTGTCTTCTATCTAAAGAAATTACCTCGTTGCAAAGACGACACTTATCTCATTCGCACTTCAAAATGTAATTATCATAACCAGTATCAAGTAGAATAAGCCAGTTCACGGTTGCAGTCTGAGCATGAGCAGATAAAGGTCATTGCAGAACAAATTTTGAAATACACGGAGACGAAATACTGGATACGTGCTCATGAAAGTTATGTAACATTATTCATTCATGTACATTCAGTGCACTCCATTGTACACAGGTGGAAGTATTCTTTGAAAAGGGGGAACAAAGGCTATTTATAAAGCACCAGTCCATCGCTGTAGGAGTGATTATTTCAAAATGTACAAAGTGGGACCTCTTCATGTGTTGAAGATCTGTGGATATTCGGGGTCATTGCAGTAAAGTGCTAACCGTGAACTGGTCTATTGTAAAAATGTCGAGGAAAGCAAAGACAAGTTACCCGTTTCCATGGTAACCAAGGGGAAATTATGATCATTGCTGATTAATCTTGAGAGGTAGCCTTTAATATATATTTCTGTCCGTACAGTTAAAGCACTATGCAGTTTATACCATAATCCATAGAGGAGAAAAGCTCGGTGATTTGCCGTTTAATGACGAAAAGTAAGATGGAATTGAGTGTGAATATACACCACTAGCCTATATTAAGACAGAGCTTAAAACTTTGATATTCTTTCGAAAGACAACGAGTGTTTTATGATAATGCTCGAGATACTGGTAATCTTCTCGGTGACTTTTATGTTGAGTGGAAGGGAGAAATATGGGGAAAGAAGAAGCAGAGAAAGAGAAAAAGGGGAGAGAGAGGTACCTTAAGAGAGGTTAGGAGATGGAGTGTGGGAGGGGAAAAGAGAGAGAGACAGAGAGAGAGAGAGACAGAGAGAGAGAGAGAGACAGAGAGACAGAAAGGGGGCGGGAGGGAGACAATTGAGAAAATGTGAGAGAAAAACAATCATGACAATGAAAACAATTTCCCATTGTTATACTCTTTTATACCGGCAACAGAGGAAAATGCGCTCAGATTATACATTTTTCACTAAAACCCACACTCTCCATTAAAAAACTGATAATGCGGAAAGTTGCATATTTTACATCCAAGAATATAAGAGATGGCAGGATAATGAAACAAATGAACAGGGACCATTACAAACAAATCTTATTCATAATTATCTATTTTTATCGCAGAATGACACACATCCAACATTTTCAAAGCTCTGATACGAAGACGAAAGTGAAATTAGTACCATATACGAATAATTAATAACGATTTGTCAACTCTGTTTTTATTGACCTCTGATGCAGTAAAGATGTTTCCGATCAATACACACATTTGTTACGATGTCAAAATGTGAAATGTACTTACCGGTGTTGAGAGAATGTATTAAAACACTTATTTAAATGGTCCTCATACGTCTCATATGACTGCCCTTGTTTCACCGGTAGATGTTTAACTTCATAACGAGTTTAAAAAGCAAAACTATATTCACTTCACGTTTGCTTTTCATTCAAATCGTCAGTATAATTATAGAGGTTGCAAACTTGCATTGCTATCGTTGGTTTCTCGTTGCTAAATCGGTTAGTCATAGATCAAACATTAATACTTCCAAAGGTAATATTTGCGGAATGACTTGAGAATCAAAATAGCTTATTCGAATGTAACTCTCAGAAACAATGAAGAGCATATCGTCCACGCACCATGTAAACCCGCAATAATTACCTGAGTAAAATAATATTCAAAACAAGAAAGAAAAAGGGCAGATTGCCAATACGATATCATTTACGCCTATCCACAGAACAGAAACATGTACATGTAAATCCAATCGGGGAGACGTCATCATACCCATAGGCTATGTATTATATCTCGTTACAGACTTACTTTCATCCAGTGAATATCACAACTTGCTTAAATTTCCTGTGCAAAATGAAAATTACACACAAACGGAACGAGCAGAGCTGGTCGGTCGGTCTTTATTGTTGATAACATGGAAAATCCTGTGAATGCCGCTATTGACAAAATAAATCGACATTTCTTATTTTCATGCTGGCTGGCCGCATTATTATGGGCGTGATTTATATCAAGACGTGGGCAAGCACTTTAAAGGTGGACTCCACAATTTGACAAATCATCTCCATTTGAGATTAGAACATGAATTGAGGATAGATATGAAATTGGGTCATGCGATAATGTGAAAGGAAACGTCTGGAAGCAATTTGTTAGGGTTTATTATGTGGTAGGGTACATAAGAATTGGTGCACATCCTGACCGTTCTTTGAATCATCAAAATTATAAGAAATAGACTCAGTCATGCTGGAATCAAGAAAAACAGAACGTGGGATATATGACACTATGCAGTATGCACATATTGCCTGACAACAAATTGTTCCAAACGTTTCAGTTTTTTCTCGTCACATTTTGAATATGAGGGTACTTAAAAAACAATCTTTTTCAGGGTTCATTTCCACAAAGATATTCTTCCAAAATTGCACAAATTATTTTCAATCTTTACACAATAAGGCTAATTATGAGTTGGCAAAATCGATTTTATTTTCTTCAGATTTGTGATAAATACTGAAAGCACATGTAACCCAGGATACATTCTTCACAAATAAAATGTTGAGCAAATTATCGCAATATGATCTCATGGATGAATTTCAAACCAGAATTTAAAACTCCCAGAGAATGTTCCACCTATATTGCAAAAATAATAACGAAATATAAAATAATTGGGAAGCCATGAGATGAAGAATAGATTTATTTTAAAATGAGAACGTACCCTCGTTAGTACCCTTTGAGAAAATACCGAGCATCACATAATTCACATTGGTCTGAAGTCTAACTAAATGCACTGGGGAAAAATAAAATGGCATTCATAGAATCCATGACCATAACCAATATACTGTGTTTACTCTTCAATGCACGGTTGTGAAATCAAGAGATTCCTCAACACATAATTCAACAATGTTCAGGAATTTCACAGGTACAATTCTCTATAGACACATTGATATACCTTAAACAAGGTGTAATGAGTTCACATCCGAAATTAAATTCATGTGACTTTCACATCCCTATAGCCTTGGGCGACTCAAAGCTTTTGCATGAGCCTTTTGAGAAATGGCTTACAGTGTTTGAGCAAATATGCAGTACACTGTAAAAAAGAATTTGTTCATTGGTAATTTTTACGTATTTTTTCCATGTAGAATTTACTTGAAAACATTAGTTTTGCCACTTACGCACTAAATTTAAGTCTTGCTAACTCAAACTTTCAATTTAGTAGAACATACGTGGAATATTTAAGTAAAATCAAATACATAAGAACTTTAAGTAATTTCAGCTTGTATTAATTTAGTAATTTTAACTCAAAATCAGAAATTATACGTATTACTCAAACAATTTATGTTGATTATTCTTATCTTTTTAAAGTAAGGACCGATGCAGTGCGTAATAGAAATATTTACATAATTTATGAATATTCATTAAGACCAAACTCTTTTTTGAATAAAACAATACTTTTTTGCGGTTGAATGAAAATTTAAGGACTTTAAAATATTTACTAATTCATTTAACATGGCTAAGCAAAGACAGAATTGTTAACCAATTTTCCTTTTAAGATGCTACGATCAAGTATATATAAAATTTGGAGCCTTTCAATATGTGTCAAATTGAAGCGTATGTAATAGTTTGTGATGGTGGTAGATATATATATATATATATATATACGGTTAAATCTTAAATAGAAGTAGTGTTAGTGATTAGTGATTAATCTTAAATAGAAGTAGTGAATGATTAGTGGATGTTACTTGTTAGATTAGATGGGTGCAAATCGTGCAATATGTAATCCTATCATAGCTTTTTTTTAATTATCTAAAATGATTACAATACTTAAATTATTTACGTTAATGTAACTCGATTTAACTGAGTAAAAATTTATTCAGCAAAATAAGTAAATTCTACTTAAGATGCCGTAGGTAATATTTACTTAATACAAATAAGGCAATTCTTTTCCTCAATTTTATTGAGTTATTTCGACTATTATTTTTTTACAGTGTATACAACTCACACGCAATGGCTCGAGGATTTTGGAACAAATGGACTCCTGAGGTGCGTATCCGATGCCCCTATTGTGATTTTGGATTGTGTGCAAGAGTAGGGGAGCACAGGCAAGATCAAGAGTGAGAAGCACAGGCAAAACTTTAATGATACTTGACAGTTAGCTTTTTTTTTAAAGGGCAACGAACAAACAAACTTTACACAGAGACTTTCAGACAGTGTACCCCATCCGCAAGTGTACTGGCATATGATATGCGAACACATTGTTACTTTGAACATATTTCTGAACGGGCCTGGTAGTTTGATTACGTAACACAACAACACTTCCCCATTTCCTGAGATATCGAGTATACCTATTAAATCACAACAATTGTGAACGACACCAGACGGAACAAACAATTACTTTTTCCTCAACTTGCTAAAAATCGTTCGGTTTGGAGTCATTGCACGATGGTGACTGTGACTGAGGTATTTAACTTTTAGGTCGAGTGGTTCTATAGTGATTGCATGAAAAGAGGCATTTGGGACATATCGCGATTAACATCAAATGATAGAATATCCATCGTTATGGTCGTAATATGACAGCTTTAAGGGATTCGGCGTAGTTACAGGATATCTACCCGCGTAAAGAGTGCTCATAAATTCGATCTCATTGTACTGATAGTATTATCCAATGGTTTTAGGCCACTGCCCCGAAATAAAGGTGAAAGGAACTTTAGATCTAGTTGTTGTGAAAACACTTTTAATATCACCCTGAGGTCGTGGGTAGGAATTCCACGTGTGGAGTGGGGTATCCTTATTCTACCATAACAATTTACTGATTTTTTTCTCTATGATATGTGTTGAAGACTCTAATAGAAATGTTCCTTTTTAATTGTCCGCGCTTTGTTGCCACTTAGAAGATAATGATTAAGACATTGGCCTATCAATTCAGATACGTTTTGAGTTGTGATTTTCGAGGGGCAACACTAGATGAATATCTTATTTCATGATTGTAGGTTACTATTGAAATAATCCGACGCAGATCCGTTACATGCACTTATAATTGACGTGTATTGTTGCGAAGGCCTGAATTACTGACATTTGTAAGGCCTATACGCATAGTTCAGGTATTGGCCTCCATGTTAACGAGTGGTGCACACCCGGCATCAAACAAAAATTAAAAAGAACACATTCATTTCTTACCTGTCTCATTTCGCTATACGATAAGTAGTTACAAGTCGATTTCACGTTTGTTGAGTAGTACGTCAAAACTGTTATTTCCGTTATCCACACCAGACTTGCTGCAATAGACCTACATTGTATGCTATGTCTTCTCTAGTCCGTTTTCCATTACCTGCACAATGACTGCATATTCTACACTAGATCAGTCTCTACTTTACATTTTTAAGGAAAGAATGATATGCACGAGCAAATAGGGTCATGGTTTGACAAGAGCCAGTCAGCACGCATAAGTGCATTTTCGGCAACTGAAACCGTTTCGATTTTGCTAGTCTGGAAACGTGTAAAAATGTTGATTATTCGAAAATTGCCCGAAAATGCGGTGCATACACTATGAACATGACTGACAAAGAAAGCTGACAAAATATACAGTTCCTCAGGTAGACAAAGGAACATGCCTTCACTGCTATTATGTAAAAATGTGTAGAACATGTGAATATGCATGTGGCACCTGTTCTATACACATTTTTACATAATAGCAGTGAAGGGATGTTCCTTTGTGTACCTGAGGAACTGTATATTTTGTCCGCTTTCTTTGTCAGTCATATTCATAGTGATAACAATGATATCTACATACATTTTCACAAAGTTCCATCTCTCGTGCTGCTAGGCAGTAATATCACGTTCTGCCTAAAACGATTCCACACTGAAAAGTACAAAATCAAAGTCATGTTTATTATTTACCTGTGAATTTCAGAGTTGGGTTCCCATCTGACTTGTGCGTACAATCCACTGTAGTCTGTTCGCACTGTACGCCCCTTCATGGAATACTGATGCGATGTCAAAGTTACACGATCCAAGTCCTGAAATGTATACTGTTTATTCTCTCTGGAATCCGGATATCAGCTTGGCCAATTACAACTGACTTCCTAATTCTTCAACCGATTTACTCTGATACCCGCTGAAAAAACGTGATTTGATTCAACACATTGAAATAGTTTAAAAGTGAAACAGAATACACTTCTTGCAGCTATTCATTTTTTTTTATAGTTAAGAACATACCATCATTGTGCTTATGAGTGTAGTCATTCTTTTCTTCTTCAACGCACAACATAGACAAAAAAGAAACTTCATGTCGACATTTCGACACAATGTGTTTCTTGCAAGCGGGGCGAATTCAAGTGAGTTTATTTTTTAAGACTCAATTAGAGAGAAAAATATTATTGTGATCCTTGTATAAACAGTACTCTATTGCTAAAATTAAACGAATGGGTGCATGATTGTGTATGAAAGTCCACTCGCAATAAAAAAAAAAATTAAACAAATCACGTTTGAAAGGTCAAAGTCCATTATCAAATCGCTATGATAGGAAGGATCGATGCTTTTGTGTTTGTCCAGTATGATCGTGTATACTGTTTCATTTTGGGTTTGCCCACCGGTTGAGTCATAATTATCTCTGACAAATTCAATTCAGGTCAAATACTGTGAAAGAGCACCTTCGTATGATACCGTATGGACGCGATTAAATTATGAAATCACCCCCTCTCGTGTTTAAACATTGCCAACAAAGTATGACAATCCTTTTTTTTTCTTCAATAGTAAATTACAAGAACGTGTACAGTGCATGCATGGTCTGCAGATTTTAGACGAGTCACTGTAAAGAGGCCTAAGAATTGAGGTAGCCTATAGAGAAAAAGAGAGAGAGAGAGAGAGAGACAGAGAGACAGAGAGTGAGAGGGGGAGAGACAGAGACAGCAGAAGCGGTTCTAAAGTAATATTTTGGGGTGGGCTTTAGGGTTCTTGCTTTCATTTTCTACATGTGCCTTGCTTATATTTACATACCATTTAAACACAAATTTGCCCCAGTCCCCCGTTGCAACCGCTACAGAGAGAGAGAAAGAAAGAAAGAGAGAGAGAGAGAGAGAGAGAGAGATGAAGAGGGGTATATATATATATATATATATATATATATATATATAAAGGAGGGGGCGTAGAAGACAGGCATACATTCAAAATAATATTTTTTTTAAATCGATGAAAAGGGATTTTCCCTTCGCAATAAAATGCAGAAAGATGTTGTCGCGAGAACAAATATAATTTGCTTGTAAATTACTAAACGAATTTTGCCTGCATTATTAAATATAATATAATGATATAATATAGGTCACTTAAATGTCACGTTTTGGTATATTGAGGTATAGGCCTATGTGTGCTTTAATTTGTTGTAAATATTTGTCATTCTGCCGTCAGTTCTACTTTATGATTGCCTATTATGTATATTTTGTATAATACTTTTGCTTATATCGTTTTTATCGTTTTTATCAAGGGCCCTTGAGGAGAGCAGTTTTTGTTTAACTAAAGAGGCAATCCTGTTTAAATAACACTGACAATCCATAAAATAAATATTTGTAAGGAAGGCCTGCTACTTGATCATTCCCTTACTTTACAACAGTGATATTAGTAGTGCTCTTAAACCAAACTAATGTGTCTCACATTAAGAAAATTGAAAGAAAAAAAAAAGTCCCTTTTATTCCAATCATATCACACTTTCGCTCAGTGTAAGTATAAATAGCCGGACATTCTAATTGGCGTGAAATCGGAGGGGTAAGTTTTGCTTTCGAATACCCTTGACTATTGCCTGCTTCCGAACAAATATGGGTGATTTGTTCAGACAAATAAGGTAGAATGTGGCAAGTAATGATTTACGATGGATTAAAATGACATTCAAATGTAAGCTTATACAAAAGAGAAGCGGGGGATACAAGGCCAGAAAAGGTTAACAAGTGATGACAAGGGATTTTCCCTTTCCATTCCCATTGTATAACATGAAAATACCCGCGGTGATGCCATGGTATTTAATGTTTTGAAGCAATAACAGAGATTTGTTCTATTGTCCATGAGCCGCGTGTGCTACCAAGAGTTTCGAATAACCGTCTCTGGAACATGAACTTATTGATTCATCCGTCATAGTTACAACGTAAATTATTTTTCCATTGTGGGTTGAACAATAAACAACAGCATTATACATAATAAAGAAGTGTAATTCGTTTTTTTTTTTATTGTTTTTCTTTACAGTCTCTTCTTCGATTTCAAAGGCATTGAATGACTAAACAAAAACGTGGTTCACAGGTCTTTATTCTTTCATTATAACTTTTTTTTTTCCATTCATTTGTCAGTGTTTGTTAGAATTATCGAAATATTTGTAATTCTGTTTATATTCATCTCGTACAATCTGTTTTGTGTAAATGCGGGGGAAGTCTTCAATTTTATGAAAAAAGGAAATTGTTTGTGACTTGTTTAATAATGAAACGATCTTGAAACTAATATTAACTGCTTTTTCTCTTTTTTTTGTTTTAATGAGACATGAACATCTTTAAGTGGAGCAGCGTTTACTGTATCCAGCTAACATGCATGGTAATCAGGAATAGATTCGATTAAGCCCTGAATGCAAATGAAGTTAGCGGCTTCAAAGAGAGAACAGATGGCTTTACGAGAGTTAATGTCTTCTTTAACGAATGAAGACATATAAAGTGACGTTTAAAGAGAAAAAGGGATGCACAAGGTTTTTAAACAGGGTAGAAGTAAAAAGGGATTCGGCGACAGGGGACACGTCTTTAATTCAAGAAGCAACACAACATGAAAGATATGCGTGTTATATGTATTCTTTTGTGGTTAAAAAAAAAAGTTTTTACACAATGCGTATCCACGATTTCTGGGAAAAGGGTAAGACTCTGCTCTCAGTAGTGTATCCAGAAACTGTTAAAGAGGAGGGGTGGACCCCTACTCAGACGATAGAAAAACAGGGGGGATGTTCCTCTTGTGCTAAAGACTCATTTAAGCTTCTTTAATATATTTTTTCTTGGACCTATACACGAGAGCATAGGCGCCGGAAGTGGGGGGGGGGCAAAAAGTGGGGGTGTAAAACGCCCCCCCCCCCACTCCACAAAAAAAAGCAGTAAAGGAGTAAACATGGTTTGTATTTTTAACCCAAAAGAACATAACAATAATAAAAACCTGAATTAAATCACATATACAATTCCATTCAAAGAAAAGGAAAGTTCACAGGAATTAAATTTAATAAACATTGCGCATGCCACCTATACGGTATTTATCAATGGAGATCTTCATAATAGCGATACGCGCATATCGTGGACATATTGTGCGAAAATGGGAAAGCGTGTCTGTTTTTTGTTGTTATAGGGGTGAGAAGACATGAGCCCCTGAACGCTGGCGTACTGATGGGGGGGGGGGTGGGGGTGTATTTCTTATTTGATACCAGTGATTTACAAATGTTGCTGTGATGACATGATTTTCCGGTATTTTTTCTCCATTTTTTTTGTAAATCATACCATTTTATGCGTTTGTTGGAAAATAAGAAATTCCCAAATTACAGTTGGGCGAAAAAATACGCTTATTAAGAAGCCTTTATGTCATGGTCTGCAAAGTGGCTGGGCTCGAGGCTCCCCCCCCCCTAATTTTTTGAAAAAGTATGTTAAAGAGAAAAAGAAAGAAAGACGGAGAGAAAAAAAAAGTGACCTGCCAATGTCACAAATAAGGTATACAAAAAATGCTCATCTGACCGTAATCAAATACCTAAAACCCCAGAGCTTACGGAGGCTCTGCCCCCGGACCCCACCAAGGGCCTTAAGGCGGTCTCCTGGAGGCTCATCTGATCGTAATTAAATACCTGAAACCCCTGAGCTTCCGGGGGCTCTGCCCCCATGATGCTAATCTGACCGTAATTAAATACCTAAAAACACCGAGCTTCCGGGGGTTATTCCGGGGGTTATTCCCCTAAACCCCGTCAAGGGCCCTAAGGCGGGCCCCTGGATGCTCATCTGACCGTATTGAATACCTAAAACCCCTGAGCTTCCGGGGGCTCTGCCCCTATGATGCTCATCTAAAAATAACTAAATACCTAAAACCCCTGAGCTTCCAGGGGCTCTGCCCCCTGGACCCAACCAAGGGCCCTAAGGTGAACCCCTGGATGCTCATCTGACCGTATTTAAATACCTAAAACCCCTAGGGTTCCAGGGGTTCTTCCCCCTGGACCCCACCAAGGGCCCTATATTAAAGGCGGCCCCTGGATCCTTAAAGAGGGCCCCTGGATGTTCATATAACCGTTAGTAAATACCTAAAACCCCTGAGCTTCCGGGGGCTCAGCCCCTTGACCCCCTGCCGAGGCTCATGCTCTGGACCCCACGCCAATTTACGCTCTACCTGATCGTTAATACTCCACTTTGAAAAAAGTTCCGCGGGAACTGCAAGTAACGAGTAAAACTGGTGGTGATGAAGATTTGTCGTCTCCCCCCCCCCCCCCGCTCCCCCCTTCCGAGCGTTTTTTTCTTCTCATTACGTC